CGCCGTGTGCTCCTCCGAGTCGATGATCCAATTCGGTTGGAAATTTGGCGGCGGCTCAGGCCGGTATGCTGGCTTCTCATTCCTAGAGAGGAGGAAGTAGTCGAGAAGCTCGTCTCCGTAAACGGAGTGCTGCTGCTGCGTCAAGTCCTGGATGGCCTCTTCCCTCTTCCTCTTCCTGTGGCCCGACTGGTGGGACATGTCATAGCGGTCATCTTCACCCATGTATGAGGCGGAGGCAACAGTCAAGTTGTCAGGGGTATCATCGTCATTCATCATCGAGTCGCCGACCTCGTACTCTTCTGGCGGCGGCGCGCCTTGTATCTGGTTGGCAGGGGGCTGGGATTGTTGTGGTGCCTGCTGCTGCTGTTGTTGGAAGTTCGTGGCGGGCCATTTGGGCACTGCGGGTTTCTTTGGTGCTTTCGGCTTGCTCGTGTGTCGCGGGGCTGGGGGCGGACTCTGTTCGCCTGGGGTGTACTCGAAGATGAGCCGCAGGCGGTCATAGATGTTGTTTCGCTGGGCGAGGGCGACGCCCTTGTCGAGAGGGATCCATGTGCCCTGGTACTTTCCATATCCACCCTGGATCTTCTCGTGCTTTTCTTTTTGTACTTCTCGCTCAAGAATACGTGTTCGGGCGGGCTTGTCGAAGCCAGCGGCCTTTAGGATGTGCGTTGCATTGATCCAGTCATCTTGGCGGCGTCGCATGACATGTTCCTTGAGGTCATCTCCGAATTGAAACTCGTAGACTGGAATCTAGAAGATCATTCAATTAGTTACGGGCCCAATTGCGGAGGAAATTTGGATGCGAAGTATCATGGGTCGTCTCTGGGCCAACCCCGATGATTGAGGCCATCTCCTTTCCCAAAAGGAAATAAGCGCCCAGCCTGATGCCGTTGAATAACAGTATGTTGGGATTCGCGGGAGTCAAGCAGCGATTTTGCCAAGTCTGCAAGAAAAAAGTGACTTACACCACTGTATGTGGCGCTGTAAACGCCGGGTTGCGCATTGCCCTTATTAACCATCGTCGCCGACCTGGAGCAAGGGACAGGCCCTGCGGACTTCTCGTATTAAGATCAGGAGGCACGTTGGCAGTGTTTTTGGTCTATTCGACGTGAGAGAGAGCGATATCGTGGATGGGGCGGGTGGGAGCACTTGGTGTGGCGTTTCGTTCGGGGTGGGAGTGGTAGTTGTGGAGGCGAAGGGTCGATGAGGCTCGGGGTTGAGGACCGGTATCACGGAAATTTCACCAGGTTTGGAGTGGATGCACTTTGGTGGTTTGAAGGAAAGGGCACGTCGACGACGCGAGACGCGCCTTCTTTAGATTACCTTTTACGCGAAAGAGCACTTTAGCCAAGCGGCTACACGCGCGAAAGAGAAGGGCCCGAGCGTCGACACGGGGCTGTGGGGCTCTCCTTCTTTCTTTGGATGAATAAATGAGTGGCCGAGAGCGCTTCAAGGCAAGTTACCGGGGTCACGTGTCTCTCTCTTTCATTGGTGGTCTGAGCTTCCACGGGATTGTCACCAAAGGCCCAGCGCTCCTTCCATCCCAAGGTTCGTCTCTTTGAAGTCTCCATAGGAACGAGCAGTTGCCAACAAGATATTGCTCTTACCGGCTTTACTTGCACAGCTTACCGCCAGCCGACAAGAATGCAACCTTTGTGCGATACATCTCAAAGTTTCATTTTCTTGCAGAGAAAAGATCACCGCCTTCATACAACAGCGTAGGAGTTATCGGACTTATCAGAACAAACAACGCCAGGGAAGGCCGGAGTGTTTGCCAATAGACCCCCAAGAAATGAATGTTTGCCATAGCTTCAACATGTAACTGGCTGACTCCTATCCGATTACGGGGGGGTTTCGGCATGGTAAAGTTACAGCTCTACCGCCAGGTCGCCATTAGTAATCCCTCTCACTGGCCGCACCGGCGCCGTGACGTCTTCAGATGTCGCACGTATCTCACCTACCCCGCCAAGATGGTGGGGTCCATGGCATTCTGACTCCTATGAAGCCCACTTCGAAGCAGCTTGTCGAGCCTATCTGATCACGACATCGCTTCGAGAACGCAAATTATTGGCATTCTCGCGATATCCCCGTACCGGACCAAAGAGTTATATAAATATCTCGACGCTTCCCATTTCCCAGACACGTCTAAAGGTTTGTCCGTCTTTCTCAAAATAGTTATCCCCGGCGTTTAGCTCCTCTCCACCTTGCCTTACCCGTCTTACTCAAGGATCCCCCAGCTTTCACCATGCCTCTCATCGCTTCAAACCCCAAGAACCGCATCATCCTGGGTCTCATGACCTTCGGACCTGATGAGTCCGCCGGTGCCCGAATTACCGATCTCGAGACGTACAACAAGGCTCTCGATGTTTTCCAGGCTCGCGGTTACAACGAGGTCGATACAGCCCGAGTGTATGTGGGCAGGAAGCAAGAGGCCTTTACCCGTGAGGCCAAGTGGAAGGAGAGGGGTTTGACGCTCGCCACCAAGGTCCAATATCCCGGACAGCCTGGCGATCATGCCGGGGACAAGGTGATTGAGTCTGTCGAGACTAGCTTGAAGGAGCTCGGCACCGATTCCGTCGATGTGAGTGAACATGAAAGGGCCATCTAGTCAGGGGTTAAGCTAATTATACGTTGATAGATCTTGTACCTCCATGCTGCGGTACGAACTATGTTCCTGAGTATGGTCTCGGATAGTGACTAATAGTGGCTCACAGGATCGTGCAACCCCATTCGCAGAGACGCTTGAGGCTCTGGATAAGCTCCACAAGCAAGGCAAGTTCGTGAGGCTAGGCCTCAGCAACTTTACCGCGTTTGAGGTGGCCGAAGTGGTCTTGACAGCCAAGTACAACGGTTGGGTCCGGCCGACGATATACCAGGGCATGTACAATGTCATCACACGCAGCATCGAGCCCGAGCTGATCCCGGCTCTGCGCCGTTACGGACTCGACCTCGTCGTGTACAACCCCATTGCTGGCGGTCTGTTTTCGGGCAAGATCAAGTCAAAGGACATCGTTCCGACGGAGGGCCGCTTCTCGGACAACCACGGCACGGGAGGCAACTACCGCAAGCGCTACTTCCGCGAGAGCACGTTCAAGGCGCTTCAGATCATCGAACAGGCGGTGGAGGAGCACGGGCTGACCATGATTGAGACGGCGCTGCGCTGGACGGTGCACCACTCGGGTCTCAAGACCGGAGATGCTGGTAACGACGGCATTATCATTGGCATCTCGAGCGTGCAGCAGCTCGAGGATAACCTCAACCAGCTCGAAAAGGGTCCCCTTCCCAAGGCAGTGGTTGATGCACTCGATCAGGCGTGGGCTGTTTCCAAGGCGGACACAACCAACTACTGGCACCTGGACCTCGAGTACAAGTACAACACCCGGGAGAAGCTGTTCGGCGAGGGGGCCAAGTGATCGGGCTCAAGTCCGATGAGTGGGCAGAAACCTGATGCGAGGTTGGAAGAATTGCCGTGGTAAATACGGGCAAAGTTTGATTCTTTGTAGTCATTGTGGTGTTAATGGGCAAACGGTTGTATCAGATGTCAAAATCGAGGCACATGAATGTACCCTGTTCTTGAAGCGATCTATGGCGCGGGATGTGAGGGTGTGCTTTAGTCGGTGTGGCAGCTGGGACCAATGCCAGACTTTCCAGTCATGCGACGCCATGCGTGATGGCGTCAGGCTGGAGGATGGAACATGGGGCGAGGGGAAATGCCGTTTTGAGGCCCTCTTCTCTTTCCCCTCCGTCGGTTGTTGGTAAGCGTGGCAAGGTAGTTCAAGTTGAATGCATACCGCCGCAGTGGTGCAGCTATGATAGCCGGGCAAACGCTAAGACATGTTAGAGGCTGACCTCGCCAGAGTTATCAGACGCAGGTGACAGGCTTGTCGTTCTGCTCCTGACCGCAACTTGTGACGTGCGTGAGAATTGGCGGAAGGGTGTGGTATCTGGGTACTTGATTTGGTACAACGGTAGGGCAGAGACGACGGTGCGCAAGATAGTCGCGACCAGACGAGATGTCTAACCTCTGGTTCGGATACCATAGGTACATAGTATTATCACGGACAGACAACGGTGTGGGAGCGATAGCGACGGAGAGGCTGCGTAAGTTTGGAGGGCTGAGTGTTGGAGGTGTTGCGTGTGCAGCATTGCAGGAGACTGAGGAGAGTGGGGGGAAAATATGGGGGGAAGACCCCTTCCGCGCGAACCGCTCATGCCCGCCAATCTGGCCGGTGCCAAGCGGAAAGCAGCAAGTAAGCCAAGTTAGCTGTGTCTCGGCGGCGTAGGGATGGCCCTATCAAAAGTCACCTTGCTGGGTCATGGATATGTCACTCGTCACCACCACGGGGCGATGAAGATACCTCGTGAGTACGGGATACGATACCAAAGAGACAGCAAGTATCCGTACGCACCCCATTGTAAAGCGAAAGTGTCTAAGGAAGGTATTGCATTCCCACAATCCCGTATGCCCGTCCGCCGCATTTTCCTGCATCCCGTCCCGAGGCCTGGGTTTGGCAACTTCCATGCGCCAGTTTACTGTAGTATCCACTCTCCACTCCTACCAAAGCGAAAAAAGTGTCCAACTGTACAGATCCATTCCCGACAAGCACTCGACTCGCATACTGCGTCAACTGCGTACCCCTTCCTTCCTTACTCGAGCCAACTTGCAGCTTTCTGCCTGTGCAGCAATTGGTTTCCCCGTTCAAGTCACTCCTTCACTTGATTAGCCTTTCTCTGTGTACCTTACCATTACTCTTTCTCGGTCTCTCTTATCTCTTTCTCTCAGACTCTCGCTATTATCTCCTGGTGCCCCCCCCCCCCCCCCCCCCCCCCCCCCTTTTTCCCCTTTTACTTCCCACATCATTTGAGTTCGCTCTTTCTGTTTCTACTTCCCTTCTCATTACTCTGCTGCTTCTTATCTCTTTCTCCCAGTACCACCCTTTTTGTCCCTTGGTCCCCCCCCCCCCCCCCTTCCCATTCTTACGTTCCTTTTATCCCTTCTTATGCCTCCCAGACTCAACACAGGGCCGGATGGAACCCTCAACCTCCCCCATTTGCGACACGATCATTCCCATAACCCTCCCTTGAGCGCAACCACATGCGATTCCAACATTTCAGATTATATCGGTAGTGGTACCAGCAGCCCTGGACGGAGCCCCGGGCTCGACCAGCGCCTGGCCGAATTTGATGCATTGCGATCCGCCGACGACGACTACTTCAAACACGATTACGACGACCAAGACGACGAAATGGACAGCCAACGTCCCCCCCTCCTTCGAAATCACAACTCCCGCTCCGGGCAACCTCTTCTAAACGCAAAGGACGACGAAGATGACGACCACCGCGGCAGGAGCTATTCCACTCGCTCTCGAGGAGCCAGCCCCTTGCTGACCCCGAGTCGACCGGCCTTCTCTCGAGGTTCGACCATGCGAGCCCACTCTCCCTCGACCGTCACAGCGAACGCTCGAAGAAAATACATCATTGCGGCCTTCGTCCTGCTTATCAGCTTAGTATCCTTCGTCATCCAGACCGAGTTGTCAGCATACATCCAGCAGGAACTGCACTGGGACAAGGCTTACTGCATGCTCTACCTGACCCATGGCTCCTGGGTGATGCTGTGGCCTGTCCAGCTGCTGTTCCTGCGATTCAATAAGCGCAAAGTCTCTTGGGCATCCTTCTGGCGACGACACACTGAGCTGCTTCACACCACCGCCGTCATGGTCCAGAGACAGGACCTCGACTATGCACGACCCAGCCCGCAGCCCCGCGTCTCCCCGTGGACTTATATCATCAAGACCACGGCCTTCGTTACGTCTGCTCTGACTATTGGTGGCTTGAGCTGGTATGTCGCTGTGAACTTGACAACTCCCTCCGATTTGACGGCCATCTACAACTGCTCTGCTTTCTTCGCCTACGTCTTCTCTGTTCCGCTGCTGAAGGAGCCTCTACGCCTCGACAAGTCTCTTGCCGTCATCGTGGCCATTGCTGGTGTTTTGATCGTCGCATACGGTGACACTAGTCCCGGCGAGGACGATGCCGCTCATCAGCAGGCGGCCGGGAACCGTGTCACTGGCAATCTGATCATCGGTGTTGGATCCGTCCTCTACGGTCTCTACGAGGTTCTTTACAAGCGATATGCTTGCCCGCCTGAAGGCTGTAGCCCTAACCGCGGCATGATCTTCGCCAACACGTTCGGTTCCTGCATCGGTCTTTTCACGCTTACGGTGCTGTGGATTCCGCTTCCCATTCTGCACTGGACTGGTATTGAGAAATTTGACTTGCCGACGGGATACACGGCTTGGATGCTTTTCTGCAGTGTCGTTATGAATGCGACTTTTGCCGGCAGCTTCCTGGTCTTGATCAGTCTGACGAGCCCTGTTTTGTCCAGTGTCGCCAGTCTGCTGACAATCTTCATCGTTGCCATTACCGACTGGCTGCGCACTGGCGAGCCACTCAGCGCTGCAGCTCTCATCGGCGGTGTCATGATTATGATCGCATTCGGCATGTTGAGCTGGAGTACATGGCGAGAGATGACCGAAGCCGAAGCGCACAAGGCAGTCGACCTCACCGATAGCGGCGATGATAGTGAAAGGGAACGCGAGGACTAGGCGATTGCATCATTGGTGTCGGCGCAACACCAAACGGCGTTTGGGGAAACACGGGTTTTATCTCTTTTTTGTCTTCAACATGAGTGTTGGCATCATTACATTGGGGTCGGCGGATAACTCTGGGCATTGGATTACAACAGCATGGTCGCGACAGACTTTGAGCTGTTGCAGCGGACGGAAGAAGGAGGAAAAGAAATGGCCACGGCCATTGGTTTACTGTTTGATTCACCGCATCCGGGGAGCTTGACCCCGCTATCTGCTATTCACTTCGTTTCTTGTCATTGTTTACTACTCTTTCTTCGGCATAGACGATATCGGTTTCGGGGTCCATGAGACACAGACCCCTTGTTAGAAAAGCAGCGAGATACAAGTTGTTGACAGCTGCTGGGTGGCCTTTCAAATGGGATGCGAATTTGCTGCGCTGCAGCACAACTCCTCAAGACAAGCTTGTTCCTAACTCTTAACCTTTATCGCAGTCCCATCGTTGTCGGCCGCCATCCTAATCTTCTAGATCCGTCTTCGAGTCCCTCCATCCTCTTTCCCTCCCTACCGCCCTTCCACAAGTCCCCGAATCCGTTATACTCTTGGCATTCCGTAAAGGCCAGGTAAGTCACACAAAATTGTGTAAAAGACTTACTTCAAAGAATTGGTTGATTTGAAACAGGGGGAAGGGCTCCACGTTGGGTATTAGACCAAGCTCCACGTAGGATCCTTGTAGTTGGCCACTCACGATGATTTTAGGTCGGGGCGACGTAATGTCTGGCGAGATGTTGATCTTCTGCGCTTGACCCCTTATATGTCCGCTTGAAAACCCGAGGATGGGACCTGATGTTTGTTTGCTTGCTCTTCTTGATGGAGAAGGTGAGTTTGAATGCAGTGACTGGAATCGCTGGGTTGGGTGGAGAAAGTGCCGAGGAGATGGGAGGTATGTGGGTCTGGGTTGAGGTTAGCTTAGCCTCCTGAGTTGCCAAGTCTATATACTAATTACCATGTTATCAACGCGGCTCTGTCACTTTGTGCTGAAGTTGCAGGAACGCGGACGCGGAGTCATTTAATCTGTGTTGATATGTGCAGACCTCGGTCGCAACGGATAATTCGCCTATGTCGAATAGAACGGCCGGTAGCTTCGATCTCTTTGACCTCACGAATGGAGGGGGGGCGGGAAGCTGAGGTGTAGATGTGGCTGTGGCTTTCAACGGTCATCGCGGGGGCTAAGCAGACGTCCCAGTCAAGCAGCGGGGCCTTTACATGACCGATGATAACATGAACCCTACGAGGCACATCTTCTCTGCCCCATTGGTGAGCAATCGAAGTCTGCTTGTCCCAGATCGAAGATCCGAGAAGCTCTCACTGAAAGTTGGCAATGCAGAACAAAACATTTCATAGTCTGACTCTCCCTCAGGGTCAGGTTTTCGGGGATACCCTCCATCTTAGACCTTTCTTCCTGAGCAACATGGCCAACGGGGCTGCGAACAACATAATTAGTGAAAATATGCCAAAGCTCCAGCCCAAGCCCGTGGCGTTTGTCAAGGGTTGCTGAGCCGCGATGGCAGCGCCCGCTCCAATGCACCGTACAAGATTGTACGACGCCTGGACTGTTGCTGATGCTTTGGGGTTCAAGTCCGTCAGAAGGGTGCCGCAAACCTGAAGGCGATGAGTTGAGAACTGTGAAACGTGGCAGTTGACTCGGAAATTTGCACTGACTGTGAATATACTCGAGGTGGTGGCACCGCTGATGAATTGCATCACCAAAGGAACGGCAATGTGCTGGTACGGTCAATAAGGCCCTAATTTCGGGAGGTCGCCAGCTGAGGGCACCTTACCCAAGCCGGAGACCAGTCTGTGGTGTACTACATACCGATTCTTGCATGAGACTCACTCCATAGCCTGCGGTGGTAACTGAGCTTAGAGCAACTAGCATGTAGATCCCCGCAAGCCGTACCTCTTCGATTGGAAAGTCCGATATGTCATCACCTCGACGATATCGGCTGTCTCGTCCTTGCCTCATGGATACCCTCTGGATGTTTTTGTCTAGAAGTTTGCCTGCCAACCCGTCAGTCAAGGTGATGTTCAAGTCGTGCTGTACAAGAATGAGGCGTCCATGTACTACGGACCTGTTGTATATGACGCTATCGCACCTCCTACCCCTGAAGGTAGGTAAATGAGCCCTGCTTCTAGATAATTCAACTTGTAGACATCAATGCACTGAGCTGACAGTGAGCTTTGCAATGTCATCTTGACTGCATAGGTTATAGAACCTATCAGGATGACGCTAAAGTTGCCTTTGGAAAACAACATCGTAATGCACTTGAAGGGGTTGGGGATGTGGTATCGCCGCTTGCCATCCTGAAGTCCTTGAACTTGCCCCACCGAGTTGATCTTTCGGTCCCGGGTGAGAAAGTCAAACAGACTTCTATGAATCCTGTGGGCCTTTAAACTCCCATTCCCTACGATTTGACGTTGTGTCTCCGGAAGTAGAATGATGATGAGGAGCAGGTAAGTGCCAGTCAGTATGACCAGAAACCAGAATATCCATCTCCAACTCAGCTTCTCCGTGAGTAGCCCGGCGATGACCGGACCAAAACTTGGAGCAGCGTTGGTACTTTATCAATCTGATCAGCAAAAAATGACAAGGAAGTTGACCAAAGAATAAGCGGCTTAGCAGATGTTCTTAAGAATCGACCTACAAAACGAGCATAGACCCTACATAAGACCCACGTTCATCAACTGTTGTTATGTCTGCAACAATCCCATATGCTGCGCCGTATGAACCTGTCATTGACTCAGCTATGTGGTACATAATGAGTTACGACAGTGTCGTATACTTACCAGATGCTCCAGCGCTTTGCACCATACGTAGAATGAGTAGAGCAGGGTACGAATTCTGCAGCGCCAATCCAATATTTGACGCAACGACGAGAGTGAACATGAGGGTGTATGCAGGCCTCCGACCACCTTGATCGGCGATATCGCCCATGAAGGCCGGTGCGATGCCCGCTATTATCAGATATGAGGTGACGGTGAGATTGATCAGCGCAACCGAGACGTTGAGATCAACAGCCATAGGGACTAAAGCTGGAAAGTAGATGTAACTGCTCAAGGTGGAGAACATGGCGCCGAAGGAAGCAACATAGCTAATCCACCTCTTCTCGCTAGTTGTGAATATTGAATGCGGCTCTTCTGGCGCTATTTCGACGAACGGTGCTATTTCTTTGTCGTCGCTGGGGGTTTGCTTGACTGGCATTTCTGATGACTCGGTGGCAGCCATCTTGAATGCTGTAGATGATGTAAATACCGCTTCTTGTGGCTAATCGTGATGAATGGATTGAAAAAGAATTCTTACTGACCCGGAATCATTTATTTCAGTCTTCTGGTCATGTTTTTTGGCGTTTCATGCAAAGAAATAGTACAATAGGGGAGGTTGAACTCTGCTCAAACAACCCCTATCGCACTTATCTTGTTCAAAGAGAGCCGTTTTAGCCTATGGGGACTGACGAATTCGGTAATTATACGTCAGGTGACAAGGAAAATGGTGGTTGGCATTAATTACGTCAACGTGCTGCAAAGCGATGGCACAGTTCTCGAGACTCTACGGATGCTACCCTGGCAAACGTAACACATAAGTCCATTGCATATAGTGGGAATTATGACGATTCATTCAATAGAAAGAGCACCATTTACTGCCTCCCTAAATTTTATATCGGTATCCTTTCCTCGAACTCCAAAAACCCATGAAATATCATCAAATGCTCCCCTCTTCCGAACGCAATCGCTGTCTTTGAAACAATCTTGATCACGGCATCAGCCTCACTACGCCATGTTAGTGGTATAAAAAAGTGTCGCGTGAAATGTTGCGCATCTGCCATGTAGTTGAGGCTGGTTGAGCAAATCCATCCGGCTGTATCGAGGAAAAGCAGACTCGATTTAATACATCCAATCACTGATTGTAGAGACGTAGATGTAATATGTAAACTCCGAGTCGGAATCACCTCTGTTGAGGGTGTAATCTTGGAAGCTTCGACGGCGATAATGCCGCTAGTTAGCTCCGTCGCGTTGAAAAGGCCCTGGGCTAAGTAGCCAGAGCCTTTGCTGCTGATCCATGAAGGACAACCCTTTGTAACTTGGATTTGGGGGCTCGGAGATAGGTTGATTCCCTTGCACACTCTCTTCAGATTACACCATTCATAGATATGAAAATGGTTGTCTCGAAAGGCGAGTAGATGGGAAGAATTCGATGGATGTTTCAACCACCAGGCTCCCTTGAGATCCTTCTCCTCTCCCATGACAGTGCCGTTGAGAGCAATTAACGTCGCACTTGAATGTGTACAGACCAGCAGTGATTCGGTTTTTGGACTCAGGATTATCTGAGATGTATCACTATCACCTCTGCGGTTGAGCAAACAAGTAAGTTGTGCTCCAGGTCCACTCCCCAGGGAAGTAACTCTGGTGACAATGTGACGCCAAGTAGTGTCGATACTGAGAAGCGTACACGTGTCTTCGTTCCAGTCTAATGATTTTATCTCTGCAAATGCATCGTGAATCCGGAGCTTCTCGACCATCTCGCCGGTGGTCAGATCACTGACATCAATTGTGCCATCCTGGCGCCCGACGAGTAACATGTCGTTGGCTGGCTCGATGGCCGTGATGCTTTCTCCCCACTGATACACATGAGAACGGGATGCTTTTATTTCCGGAAGGGAAACTTCTTCTCTGGAACATGAAATTTCTAGGAAGTCGTCATCGTACTCCTCTTTGGAAAGGAGGATAATCGGCTCCCAGACGTTGCAGCATTGCCCCCGGATGTCGTAAAAACGGAGATTATCTGCTGAAAATGCGATATCTTTGATTCTTAGTTGATCTCCTGGTAGTTGAATGTGGTAAATTGGCTGCAAGGTCTCAAAGAGGAAAAGGTAGATGCCTCCGTCCTCTGCAGCACCTACGAGAACCCTGCCATCGGAGCTAGTGGATAGAGCAGATAGCAATGTTTGCAGGTGATACTTGTTTGCTTGGTCTTGTGTCCATGGATTACAAGTTACCACGTCGCCGTCCATGTATGATATTGCTAGCAGCTCGACCTCAGCAATTGGATTGAACACCATGTCCAGAACTTGTGAGGTAGCGTAAACATAGTTGAAATTGTCTTTCTCAAAGTTGCCGACGCAGACACAAGTATTCAAGTCCCAGATTGAGACTGAAGCATGTCTGTAAGATAACGTTGCAAGCTTGTGGTCCGAGTCGAGTCGTATCTGCATTGCTGGTGTCCATAAACCAAGTTTGTTATCGTTTTCATCCGACGAGTCTGAGTCCCAGACCGAGGGGGCATGCAAAAGTTTCCGCTCTGCTTCTTTTCCATCTTTGATATCGTAAATCACCAAAGAGGTACCATGAGGATTGGAAAGAATTATCATTTCTTCGTCATGGTCGAATGAAATTGATCCTGGAGTGAAGTCGATAGTTCGTGACCAAACGGGAGATAGCCTGATAGGTTCTGGAGACCGGTGGGTGTCCCATATTTGTAGGTTTCGAGAACTACATGAGACTAGTACTGAAGAAGCTCGGTTGAAGGCAAGCAGACGAACCCTCTTCCCGTGATTCAATGTAGCAGCTGCATCGAATGCCCCCGACCCAGCAAGGTGGAATAATCTGATCTCTCCGCTGGCAAGACCAACAGCCAGTAGGCGAGTACAGCAGGCGATTGCATACGCCTCTTCTGAGAATATGTATCCCGTCAATCTGTCGTTCCAATCTTCTTCTCTCGGACCAGCAATTCGAAGTCGCTTGGTTGATTTTGCGAAGATCTGCCCAATCATCGACTTGGGAGGGCAGAAGTGCGGGATGAGAAAATGGATTGAAGATGGAGAGGTGAGAAGAATAGAATGGAATACGGCGAGGATGCGGTAGATATCATTTGCCCATGTTGCGATAGTGTGGAACTCCGTGCTGGTAGGAGATTGACATCTGGCTAGGCGGCCCAGGTATGTCTTGAGCCTCTGTGCAGTGAGCTGCAAGGTCCACAGGTTCCCAGCTGTAGCTGTTCGTTGAATCCAGGTCAGGACATTTGTAGTGAAGAACTTTGCTAGGAGGAGAAGCGAAGATCCAGTGGCTGAGGAGGCTTGAGCGAGATGGTAAGGGAAGCTCAGTGCAGCATATTCTGATAGTGGGGAAAGAGAAGGCATCCTGGCCGCTGCGACTCCTCGATGCGTTCTTGGTGGCGCAAAATTCGAACTGCACAGCAGGTCGAGACATGTTTCAGCAATTTCTGAATGCGCTTTCCCAGTGTCGATCCAGAAGCCCTTGTCTCTCTCTTGGCTTAAGAAGGCTGATGTCGTTAGATGGGCGACGCGAATATATGACTGACCATCCACGACAATGAGGTGTCCCGTCATGCTCTCCAGCTCCCATCCATTGGCTGCTAAAGTCTTCCCGACATCGAGTTTCACAGCCTCGGCTAGCTCGTTGATGTGAAGCGATTTTGGCGAACAAATCGCCCACTTCAACACACATTCGGCCAGCTCAGCGCTAGGTGATTGGGATATCAAATCGAGTGTGCGGGAATAAAGCTCGTCCATCTGCGGCGGAATTTGTCGCAAAACATCTTGCTTGTCTTCTACACTGTATGCATTCTCCAGACGGGCTACTGTGAGGGACGTCCATAAGAAATTGCCATCTGCTTTTGTCAGAACATCGGCGACAAGATTCTGTATGCCATCGTATTGATCAGCATCATATGTCTGAAGAAACATGGCTTCAACAAACACTTCGATGTCTCTAAGCGAACCCTCTTCGCCTGTGACGATCTCCACAAAATCCGTGCGTTCCAGTGTTAAATACCGCCTAACTTGCCCACCAGGTCTGCTGGTAACCAAGACTCGGATGGGTAACGTTTGTTCCATGTGGGACAGCATGGAAATCAAGCCAGGTAGGTCTTCGGAGGAGCATTCGTCAATCGCATCTATAACCCAGAATTGAGGCCGGTCAAATTTTGCTTTGAAAATGCATTCGTTGAAAAGAGTTGCCCAGAGCAAATAGTGATCCTCAAACTTGAGGGTTCTGTTGTCCTCGGCCATAGAAGCCAGAGCCTGGCGCACCTCAAAGTTTGAATCGGCTATTTGGAATGCTAGGGATCTCATCAAAAGGGCTAGAGTGGAGGAAGAAGTTTCCTCGTGCCTGAAGAAGAAGAAGCTGCAGTCAAGGTTGCGAGATTGGAGATGTCGGATTACATGGCCGGCAGCGATAGTCTTCCCGGTCCCGGGGCGGCCATTGAGCCATAAACGCTTAGACTCTAGATCTCTAGAAGGCTCTGACAATGACTCTTTGTCGGCCCAATGACCGATTGGCCCATCGATCCATTTCTGGAATCTATCACTATCTGTCAACCACGTACAGGATCCGAGGTGCTGCTTCTCGTTTATAGCAAGAAGAACTGCGTCCGGCCGTTGGTCAATACACAGGAATGCAGCAATTTTTCGCATTTTGGATTTATGTTCCTGTTGGCTTTGGACTAAAGCTGAAGGAGTGAATATTGATTAGCTTGACAGACAAAGTAATTCTATGGTTCCAAGGATCGGCTCACTGACAGTCCCGATCTCTTCGACTATGGTTTTGAAGGCTCGTTGTAGAGTCAAATAGTTCGGATTGCTTGGCGAATCGAATTTGCACATTTGTCGGTGATCGGCCTCAAGATACTGAACATGTTCTCTCGGTAACCCTGAGGAAGCCAAAAGCTATTGTCAGAAAATGAACAAGGATGACGAACATGCGTAGCTGGACGTGAAAGCATTGCCTACCAAGGACGGCAGATTCCTTTTCGACAATTAAGGATGATGTGGGGCCGAAACTCGTTGGCAAACTCTCAAAGAAAGACCAGAGGTTAATATTGTGGCAAATATGTCTAAACTCGTCGTTGATTTGCTGTGTTGAAGTATGTGAGATATTTGCTTTTAGGCACGTTGAGGAGCCGATGATTTGACTTACATCTAGTGTTCCACTGCCGGGAATCAAATCATCTAGAAACGCCTTTGAGCCGTACCCAGCCGACTGACGGACCAATCTCGCGACACTTGCAGAATCAGCTCCGCGATGAGGCGTGCCTAAGAATAACATAGTATGGATCCTCTTCCCGATAGTTTCGTAGTTCGGATCACGCGTGGCTATGAGGTACGCCTGAAGAATATCAGTACGTTGTTACCAGTTCGGGATATGAAGTCCTCTCAGACACACCTTTTTGGCCACCAAGCCACCCATGCTATGAGATATGAACACAATCGGTGTCTAGGTTGGTATTAGCCATGGGCGGTAGATACATGTATGCAGGAGGCTGACTGACATCGCCATTCTTGCGAAGGCAAGGGGAGTTGTGAAGATCGGCAAGCAACGCTTGTCCAAAGTCATGGACTGTTAATCGGCTGTCCTTCCGTGTTGTCCAGTCTGAGTTGTACCCAAAGCTATGAATGCGGACGTGTTTGAAGCCGGCCTCATTTGGCAGCCAGTCTCTAGGCCAAAACATGCCAATATCGGCTGAATGACTCCATGTTTTCCTCGATCCCCCACCCAGACCGTGAATCTGAACAACCAAGTATCAGTCCTGCCACATGGAGTCGTTCCATCTTCCTCAAAAACCTACGAACACAAAGTCGATTGCTGGTTCCGAGGGCGCATGAAGCAAGTTCAGACCGAGGGCTCCCTTTATATCAGCAGCAGAAAGTGATTGAATACTGCATGAGCTGTCGGATCTCGATGACCGAGAGAGACGCGTGCTAAGCTTCCGTAACCGGTGTTGTAGCGGGCCGAAGGATGGCGCACGAACTCGAGTTTCATCACTTCCGAGATTACGAGAGAGTGACGGCGGCTCAGCAGTGATACCAGCCAGCTGGTACGACGAAAACATTAGCTTCGAGCTACCGAATTAAGCGGGGGATGGAGAACGGGATCTAAGATACTAGCACGGATGAGGGCGCACATACAGATGACGAAGGGCTTTTGTCAATCGACATGGCGCCAGTAACGACCATCAAGACTGCATGTAGAACCAGGATGCCGGAAACTTGGCAATGAACGAGAGAAACAGAGAGTCGCTTCTCATGTTGAGGTTCAAGATACAGCAATTGCGAAGATACCGGCGACTGGACAGGGTCTCTCTTGCCCCCACGTGATTGGGCTCGCGGGAACCACACGCGTAAGGAGCCGGGCGGCTACAGGATGGCGAGGATTGGACCTCTCCCTGGCTACTCCTTTTGTCAGCCACTACCCCGCGTTAGACTCCGAGCCGAACCTAATTAACCAGCTCCTCAACACCTCCACCAAGCATGGAGAGCGGATACCTAGACCAGGCAGAGCATGCAGGCGAAGGCTGTGAGCTTGATGACGCTGTTTTTGCTAGTGTGTACCTTCTTTTCAACCTTGCTAGGTCCGGGTTCGAACTCAGTGTGCTCACGCCTTGACATCATAACAGAGCTTCCAACAGGCTGTAGTGTACTCAAAGTGGCACCATCAGGCCATAGTCTTTGGGTGGCCACGGTTCAGATTGTGGTTCAGCTGGAAGATGGAACCATGAAAGAGTACTTCAAGAAGGTGATTAATGGACTCCCATTTGGACCAAATTAGTTCTCACTCTCGCGTAGGGTGCGCGTGGTGCAATTGGAATGGACATGATGAGAGGCACATTCGAAGCTGAACAGGCTCTATACACCTTTTCTCCAGGCCAGGTCCCAAAGCCCATCGGTTGGGGAACATACACCATCGATCCAAACACGCACTTCTATCTCAGCCAGTTCGTGGAAATGAGAGAAGACCCCCCCAGCCCTGGGGATTGGGCGGCTTCTGTGTGGGATCTCCATGCTAACAGCATGGGGAAAAGCTCAACTAGAAAATTCGGCTTTCATGTCACTACTCATCTTGCCAATGTTCCAGTCAACAACTCGTGGAACTCTTCTTGGGAATCATTCTGGAGACAGCAGATGAAGGGTCTGTTCGACCAGGACGACCGCGTTCATGGCATGGACGATGAGTTGACAGCGCTCAAGATGATATTTCTCCACGAAGTGATCTCGAGATACCTTGCTCCACTTGAAAGAGAAGGACGATCTGTCATGCCCTGCCTCATTCACTCTGATCTATGGCCTGGGAATATCAAGCCGAAGAAATCCTCAAATGGATTATGTGTGTTTGACGCCTGTGCATTTTGGGGACACAACGAGGGTCAGTAATAAGATTTCTCAAGGCTGTAGAGATCCTGTGGTTTCATGGGTTAACCCCGAGGGATTTTCTAGCCGATTTGGGCATCTGCCGAAACCCAAGATACAAGCTTGGTCAACCGTGTATTCGCGAATACCTCAAGCGAATACCTGCAGCTGAGCCCACGGCTGATTTTGACGGTAGAAACGCTGTGTACGCGATGAAGTACCACGCGCTGCTGTCAATCATGTATTGCTTCAAAGACAAAAGTTTCAGACAGACGCTGAAGGACGAGCTCAAGGAGATCATCGGCAAGGCAGCACTATCGATCCCACAAGGAGAAGGAGATGCGTCTGCGTAAATACCAGCCTAGCTGCGTATCCTGGTTTGAACTAGGTAGTAAAACACCAAGTATTCCCTACACGATAGATCATCTGGGCCGGTGTCTGAAATCATTGAGTCAGGGAGCTAAGGTCGGCATATTCCGATAAAAGGCGAGCTCTCCAAATACAAGTCGAGTGTCGTTTCTCTTGACTTGACTCCGAACACGCTTTGTTAACATCAGATGAGGTGCACGATGACAGTCAATGCTCGGGCCGGGCACGGTCTTGTCCCCACGCCGCTAGCATAGCGGAGACGCGTTAGCGAGTGATTAGGCGATAGCCCTCCTGGAAGTTCCCGCTGAAAGACTTTCGTCTCATCCTAATTGAAACCTGCGGCTTTCTTCTTTCAACTCCATCGCAGCTCCTCCGACAACTCATCGAGCTCAGCAACCACCATCATGCTTGAGCAGACTCTGCAGGCCATCGGCCTCATCTGGATTCTCTATTCTGCCTACAAATTCTACGACGCCATTGCGATATGGATTCTTCCTTCTGTGTCATTGAAAAAATATCAGAGGAAGGGCTCATATGAGTCCTGGGCACTCGTGACCGGCGCCTCCGCAGGCATCGGACTGGGATGTGCGCAAGAACTCGCGCTTCAAGGCTTTAATATCGTCTTACTGGGCAACAACGAAGACGAACTGGAGGACGCCCGCGCTCTTATCGAATCGGAGTGTCTCCGTCGACACAAGGACGAGATCGCCGTCCGCATCCTCAAGGTCGATGCCATCACCAGCACACCCGAAAAGGTGCAGGCTGCTGTCGACAACATGGATGACTTGAAAATCACTGTTCTGGTCAACAACGTTGGAGGTGTGTCCGCTCGGCCGCCGGCGATCTGGCATCTGCAAGACTTCACTGGCGAAGAGGTGGACGGCACCATCAACCTCAACGCGCGATTCATGGCACAGTTGACCCGACTTATGCTCCCAATCCTCGCCAAGAATGGTCCTTCTTTGATGCTCAACGTCAGCTCCGGCGGCAGAATGGGAATGCCTGGCGTGGCCGTGTACTCTGGAACTAAGGGTTTTGTTTCTTCCTTCAGCAACGCCATCGCGAGGGAGATGAAAGCCGAAAAGAAGAAGGTCGATGTGCTTTGCCTTGTGGTTGGCGACGTGAAGACGCAGTCGAACGCTGTAGCCATGGCACCGGGTTCACCAGACGGCAGAGAATTCGCCAAGGCCGCCTTGAAGAGAGCGGGCAGAGCAACTCAAAGGGGCATGCTGGAAATGACGCCTTGGTTCAAACATGCAGTCCAGTTGGTACTCTTTGATTGTATGCCTGAGTGGATGCGGATGAAGTTCATGTCTGAGCTGTTCAAGAAGAAGATTGAGGCTCATAAGAAGGGTAAATGAAGTCTTCTTCAGTATGTGTCGTTGTTGGCTCATACGACGACTTTGGTCAAGCAGCTAAACACGAAGGATCATACTTAGAACAAAGGGATGAGCGGCGTGGGTATAGTCAAAAGCTTCAATTCACCGGAAAATACATAACCCTTAGTTTTCAACCTGTAGGCTGTCTTGATCAGAGTTGCCTCAACGAGCATGTTAGATCATTGAAAACGGCCTAGTGATCATGTATTGAATTCGTTTCTAGCTAATATTCAAGAATTTCTCGGGAACATGAGAAGTCGACGAGGCAGGTATGACCTTTTTCAGGCATGCGAATGCCGAGCACAATAGCCACTACGCTATGGATGAGTCAATCAAATTCGAAAGGGTTTATCGTGCTGCTTCGCGTGTTGTCAAATAATCATTGGCTCGGAATTCCTCAAGGCTAGGGGCAAAATCCCACAGAAGACGCTGGGTCGATGATGCCCAAATCAATGAAAGTTTCATAATTCCAATAATCGCTCTGAGTTCCTTGACCATTGACTGGGTCGGTCCCAGAAAATTTGGCGGTCCAATATGAGCTTCCTTGGGTATACTTGGACCAAGCATAAAGCCCATCATTCAGATTCTTGGCCCGGCTGGCAAAGGTGTTGTTGCTGAGAGCCTGAATCGACCACTCGCCGATGAAGACGGGAAATTTCCCATCGCTGATAGACCCTTTGGCATCTTCGCAGATGAAAGTCGGTATGTTGTCGGATGTGGTTGGTCTGCCGGCGAAGTAGTAATGATGGGAATCGAAAACGATGTTTACGTCAGAAGGGAAATACGGCGACCAGAACGTCTCGGGACGAAAGCTGCCTTGTACCATGACTGGAATTTTCGGGTTGAGAGCTGCGACTCGGGAGAGGACTCCGTTGATAAACTTTGCAACCCAAGCAGCACCATTGATGCTAAGTGCATCCGGCGTACCGAACTTGGAGAAGTCGCGGTTGTCCACTGGCTCGTTCAGGGGTGCAATGGTGTATGACTGAGGAAACCCGGAGGTTTGAACATACTGAACGACGGCATCTATGGTGCGGTATGAATATTCCAGGGCAGTTTCGTTGTTGAACCACCCATAGTTGCCGTCCTTCTCTCCAATACCCAGCCCGTTGAGCCCACCTGGTAAGGAGTGAACATCGACGATGACGTGCATATTGTACTTTGTGATGGCATATGTCGCAATGTTCTTCAAGAATTGAACTTGGTTGCCGGTGTATAATTGGGAGCCAGGAACCTTGATCCAAGCAGCGTAGTGTGTCGGGATGCGGAGGATGGTGACACCAGCTTTGGCGAGCTTGTCAATGTCGGCGGGCTGGAAATAGGTTGCATAGCGTCGTTCCAGGACCGGGCCACATTGCGAGCCAAGACGGACGCAAAATCCCCACTCGTCGGTGGTATTGCCGCCGTACTGACTCCAGAATCCGGCGTCTAGGACGGCTTCTTGAACTAGCCAGCCACCGAGGTTGACTCCATTGGCCTTGAAGGTCTTCCAATCAACATAATTCTGATTTGGAACAGCGAATGCGCTGACGAGAAAGAGGCCTAGGAAACTTAGAATATTGGACGTCTTCATCTCGGTGATGATGTCTGGTAAGTGACAAAATTGATTCAGAGAGGCAGCTCAGCTTAGTAAGGAGGCACAGAAAAGTTGTCCAAGGGGTTGGTTTTCGAATTCTAGTCCTCGGAGCTCAGAACGGGATTAAATAGTAAAATATGGTGAAGTCTAAGACATCCAATTACATGGTTATTGGATCAAGCCCCCCGCAAGAAAATACAACACGACTGTCATAAACATCCATAACCTTCTTAGCTCCGTCACTCTTTGACCCGAGATCTGAATTGAGTCCGGTCTTGTATACTCGTATTACTGGACAATGAGAATGTGCCTCCCCCTCCCAATGAGGTCCTCAATCATAGCTTACGGATCTCATTATGCTTACTCCTACCTACATGCCACGCGTGTAAGTGTGCGGGGCCCCGCACGTGGAGAGAGGGCGCATTAGGGGTTGCTACCCTCCGCATTTTTCATGGCTTGTACGTAGAAGGGGAGATTGGGGTTACACCACCAGCAAAGATCTACACAACCCTGGGTCATCCCCCTCTCTTCCGCGAAAGGATGACAGCATGATTATCCTTCTCTGGACGACTCGCAAATATCGAGACACTGCAACTTCTGCTTCATGCTAGGCCGCAAATTTACGAGGTGAGTACATGTCAGATATGCTCATGGAAACCAATCGACAACCTGTCTCGTCCCGATATCTTGACAATCCTAAGTCCGTCTGCTTGGGAGCTTTTCTTTAATAAGTCAAACCACCCACTTTTAGCCCACCCTAATAACATAGTCTTAAAATATCGATATTAATTATAATTAATTATTTAATTACCTTCTACTACTATAATAATATAATTATTATTCTTACTAAGTAACTCGACCCCTATAAGTTAATTAGGACTAATTAAATAGTTATTAAAGTCCTCTTAAGCTTTTTATATATCCTAAATACTTATAAACTTAGTATTTAAGTTTATTAATATACTCTTTTTTTTTAAACTTTATATACTTAACTTTTATTTTTAAAAATCGAATTTAATATTAGGATATAGCTAAGTAATAAGCCTATTTACTAAATACCTTTTTTATTTTTTTAAATAATAGTCGTTAAGTAGTATTATTTAAATTAAGTTTTATAAATAGCTTTAAATAGTTATTAAGCTCGCTAACTTTTTTAAAAATTAACTAGTTAATAATAAAAATTATTAATACTTAGTTAAGTAGTTTTTTAGTATTATTAATTATTTACTTAACTTCTATACCCCTTTTAAATAGTATAATTTATATAAATAGGATTATTAAATTAAAAAATAGGTTAGTTATATTAAGTAATTATAGTTTAGTTATTTTCTACTTACTTCGTATATTTAATAATATTAAACTAATTAAATAAGTAAGCTAGTAATAGCTTAAAAAATACCGCTTTTTAATAATAATAAAATTATTTATTATATCCTCCTTACTAAGCTCCTTTTTATAATAAAATTTAATAAAATTAAAAATAGCTATATTTAATAGCTAGAGGATATAAAAAGTATATAGTAATAAGAATAATAAGTAAACGTTATTTTTATAGTACTTTTATATAAATTCTATTATTATATAACTCTTATAGCTATTTAATATTAATAGTTAAGGTTAGTTTAGCTTACTAAGCCCCCTAATAAGGGGGGTTTTAGTTTATAATAAGAATACTTTTTTTAATTAGTAAAGAGTAGTCTCGTTAGTTATCTAGCTATTATTTATTATTATAAACTTCTAATTATTATAAAGGTTAAGTTCCCCCCGACGGAGTAATCCGCCAGGGCCATACCGTATATTACGTATTAGAGAAAACTAGGTATAATACGCTCTATACTTAACTACTAACTAAAATTAACTAACTCGACTATTATCTCCCTTTTATTAATAGCTCCTAACCTTCTACCACTTCTAATTACTTATAGAGCGAGCTTTACTTATTTTAATACGCACAAGACCTCTTAGTACTAACTTACGTAAGTAGCTAGGTCTAATATAATCCGTTCTTTTATATAAGTATTATTATTATTCGGGGGGTCTTATAGGAGCTATTTAAGGCACTAGCTTATTATTTTAACCCTATATATCTCCGGCCCGTTTATTATAATTATTATAACTAAGCTAATATTAATATATTAAATTTTAATATCTATACTAGTCCGGCTATTTATAATATTCGTACTATTACTTAGCTAAATTCCGTATTATTAAAAAGTACTTTATTAATCCTCGGATATACTTATATTAATTATAATAATTATAGTATTAAGCTAGTTAAAAAGGGTACTTAGCCTAAGAGGGGTAAACTTATTAATAGATATTTTTAAGTTCTTATTAAGGTAGTATTTTAACTAGCTAACTTCTTAACTAGTTATCTAATTAGCTATTTAAATAATAGTTTATATATTAATAAGTTTATTTAGTAAATTTATTTAGTAAATTTATTTAGTAAATTTATTTAGTAAATTTATTTAGTAAATTTATTTAGTAAATTTATTTAGTAAATTTATTTAGTAAATTTATTTAGTAAATTTATTTAGTAAATTTATTTAGTTTAAAAAGAGAGTAGCTTTAGGTAATATTAAAAGTAATAAAGATAAAAGAAATCTTTATAAGCTTTAGTATAATAAAGTAATAAATATTAGCCTATTTAGCTCTTTTTTTTAGAAACCTCTACGTTACTATTAAAATTTAAAATATCTATAGTTAAGGGCCGTTTCTAATTATTATAGCTAACTATTATAGCTAATTATTATAACTAACTTTTATTATTAACCTTTTTAACTAGTACTACTATATAAAAGGTAGCTTACTTATCCTAAATTAAATAGTAGTTTTTATATTAAAATTACTATATTACGTTAAGTACGTATTTAAAATATATTATGCATATTATATAGTTAAAAAGTATATTATATTACATAATTTCTTTTAAAAGCGTGATCCCGTTAAGGTCGATTTTTAATACTTATAAAACTAGAAAAAAATTATTATATATAAGGGTTAAGTTAAAATAAAAACTATTACTATTATACTATCTTTTTTTTATAAATAACTAGTAATTTAATAAATCTATTATTAATAAAAATATACTTAATAATCGTTACTTAAGTACGTAAACTAAGCTCTTTTTTTTATATTACTATAGCTTTTATTATACTTAAGACTAACTTATTAGCTTCTTTACTTTTTATTATACTAATTTTATTTATATTATATTTATTAGCTTATTTAATAGCGCTAATCTCTAGTATATTAAGTAATCTAAATTATAATCTAATTATATTAATAATAGCTTTATTAATACGTTATAAACTTATTAAATAACTTTTTTAAACCCTTATTAATAAATCCTTTTTAAAAAAAGCGTTAATTTTTTTTTTTAAATAATTTAATATCCCCTTAAGATATTAGAACTTACTTAGCGAATTTTTTAACTTATTAATAAGTTAATATAATACTTAGGGTATACTAAATTCGAACTTATTGAGCTAGTTAGTTTTTTTATTATAAAAAAAGCCTTTAGAGGTTTATAAATACTATTATTCTTATTTAATAACTTTTTTTACGATTTTAAAATATTAATTTAAGAACTTCGAATATAATTAAAGCTTTTTTAAAAAAGAGACCGTTTTTAATAATATTAAGAGCTTATTAAACCTTATTTTTAATATATAGTATTATTAACTATAGATTAATAAGTATATAAAAAAAAATGCATTTAGACGATTTTTATAATTATTATATTAAATTAAAAATTATAAGGAGGGTTTTTAATTGGTAGCTGGGAAGGAAATTGGGGTGGGCTAAAAGGGGGGGTGGGCTAAAAGTGGGTGGTTTGACTTATGACCATGCCACAAACACGTAACACGTTTGAATCTCTCATTACGGAAGACACGTTGTAGAGGTGCTATTTCTTTCTCTCGTTCACCAGATATCCAGCCCAGGCAACACTAAACTGGGTGCAGTAGTGCTAGCCTGGAGAGCGTCCCGGTGGGGGGAGTATCCGGTGGGCGCCATCCACTTTCCGTCATACGGGTCCAACCAGGCGTCTCCATCAGTAGACCTGTATTCCCCCTCGGCAGTCACGTTGGCCCTCCAAATTTCGCTTGAGAACTGCTTATTAGAACTTTTCGGTACAATGTAAGAACGAACGAGGTGTATAGGAATGGAAATTCGTCTAGACGTCCAAAGATCGACGCTTGTTTGTCCTCGGAGACAGGGGTTTTCAGATTGATTCTAGCCGATATTGTAGTCCGAAATTTCAAGGATTATGGGGGTTCTACGAAACGAGATTCCGCTTATAGGTCTTTTGTGACTCCAGGGCAATGGCTTCCGTCAAACTTGGCCGGTGGATGCTGGTGCTAGTTTTGAAATACGTGATTTGGCCCATGATTCCAAACATGTCAAGTCGCGGGGATCATGGCGATTGAGGATTTCTGCCTGACTGACCATATTCTAGTGGGCATTGATGGATCTATCTTTCTGTCTAAGTGAGTCATTGTCAGCTTAGTGGATCAATCTCTCTCTTGTTGGATGTTTACTATTCAACTATAATTAGCGGGGAGATGCGCAAGCATCTTGTTAACAGCTCCATATTCTTCAACCCAGTAGCGGAACCCAAGCTTTCGAGATACATGTATTGAGTCTGAATGATTTGTCAATTAATCAGTAATCCTAGTCTGCTCTGGAGGCGGGGTATGGCTGCTGCCGCACGCGGGCCCGTTATAACACCGACCCAAATGTCTTGAGTGCACTTGAGGATTCTCTGCAATGTTTAAGAGTGTGCGCTTCCAGAAGAAACCGGGCTAGGAAAGAACCGATAAATCCGATGTTAGGTTTGCGAGAGTAACCTCATAAGCCTGGTAAGCTACCTTGGAGCCGATAGTTTACTCTCGGTTCGGCAATGTTGCATTCGGGGTAAACCCACCAAATTATATCATCAGTCAGTTCTTGGCACGTGGTGAACATGTACTTCAGATTCTCGGCGACGTATGGATAGTTTCTCAATGCTTAGGACAACTGGCTTTAACATTACGTTGACGGTAAGTGAGGTCAATGTCAGGTGGCGCCTTCGAGGCGGTGTCAAGATAGCGTGATGAACAGAAGGTACTTTTATTAGGTAAGGTAGAGTAGAGATGCTCACTGCGTGCTGGCAAAATGGCAGTTCGGCCGAGTGTAAGCTGCTGCCAATCTGGTCAGATAATGTAGTGAGTCAGAGAATCGTTTCCGCGGAATCACCCCCTCCTGCGAAGGAGGTGGTCTGTTGATGAAGCTTTGCTGACATCGCCTGAAGAAGACTGTAGTCACGCTGCTTCCAATTGGACCCGCGACGAAATAGACCACGAGGAGTCACCGCTAAACCTCATTTGCCTGCCCGCAAAAGGAATTGACTGGAAATATCTGATAGTTAGATGGGATTCGACGCAAGATCTCGATTCAATCTACATCTTGCTGTATCCCTGTGAACAAGGACCTGGCTCAGCTTGCTAAGGAAGCTGGCTTAACAACATCACAGCACTGTACTGGCAATAGCACCCCACTTCGAGACAAGCAAGGGGGTGCAACGATGGTCGTTACTGGTTTCTTCCCTCAACTCTTCGGCTAATTGATACGTTCCGCACCATTTGGCCCTGTATTTAAGTGCGCCTCATTGGGCACTTAAGGGGCGGTTGAAGACACATCATATTGCCCACATTGAATGTATGTTCTGTCTAGGTACGCTTTTGATTCCCGATGTTGACTGGACTGACTGAAAGAACAGCGCCTCCACGACAGAGTGGCCGGGCATTGCGGGGATTCTAAGGTGGGTGACACAAGCTAACATGCACATGCGCCAATGCAGGTATTAATAATCCAGCCGAAACTTGGCCCGCGGCCTACAAGGACTCCGACCACTCAGCAACGCCCAGATCGGCCGGTCGACCATTCGGTCGAAGCGGGAACAAAATATATCCACTTTCGCTGTCGACAGGTGGTTGCATATGCAGCGACGTTTTATTACTCAGCTCACCTCATCTTACTTTTTGTGGACGTGATCTACACATCCCTCGTTCCATCAGGTCCACGGATAGGCATGCATATAGTTGCGGAGTTTTAGGTTTGGTCATACTCCAGCCTTGACTCCAAAATGACTACCTTAGGTATGAGATGAAGTATAAGAACCAAGCTCCCGAACCTGTCTGCTGAAACACGTCCCAACACAATTCATCTCAAAACTCACAATGTCTACCTTTGAGGAATACGACGTTGGCTACGCCGACAACAAGAATATCCACTACCTCGCTGCGGGTCCAGTCAATGGACCTCTCCTTGTATTCGTCCATGGCTGGCCGGCGATTTCACTTGCATGGAAACCTCAGCTTGAGGCGTTCAGCGCTCTAGGTTTCCGGGCCATCGCGCCGGACATGCCCGGATACGGCAAATCGACAGCTCGCAAAGTTATCGAGGATTACTCCCAGCAGAGTATTCTCGAAGGACTACTAGCACTCCTCGCACACACTGGTCGGAAGGAGGCCGTCTGGATCGGTCATGACTGGGGTTCCCCGTGCGTTTCAACTGTTGCAGCACAGCGTCCGGAAGTTGTCAAGGCCCTGGTGAATGTCTGTGTTCCGTATCGCACACTTGACTTGGGGCTGAACGCAATACTGGCCCTTGTCGACCGCCAGGTTTATCCCGAAGACCAATACCCCTACGGACAATGGGACTACATGCGTCATTACGAAGAAGATTTTGAAAAGGCTGTCGCCTGGTATGAGAAAGATATCGAGGGGATCAACAAGGCTTTGTGGCAACCGGGCAAGCCAGTTTATCCCCCTAAGCCCACATTCACTTCCACTGTCAGAAAGGACGGAGGATGGTTTGGCGGGATCTCACAACCTCCATCCCCAGATCAAATTCCAGCTCCCCTCCTCGAGGGTGAGGTCTTTGATGAGTTCACTAAGGCGATGAAGAAGACGGGGTACTGGCCGGGATCAGCTTACTACATGAACCATGAGCGCAACCACGAGTTCAACTCAAAGGCACCAAACGATGGCAAATTTGAGAAGCCTGCCTTGCTCATTCATGCAGCATTCGACTACGTGTGCGAGACCAAGACTACCCGGCTAGCCGAGCCAATGCGCCAGGCGTGTAGCAACCTCACCGAAGTGACTATTCAAGCTGGACATTGGGCAAACATGGAGAAGCCGGCTGAGACCAGCGCAGCTCTTTCGAGGTTTATCCTTGAGGAAGTTCCTGATTACTGGCCTGGGTTCTGGGAAAGCGGGTACGCGAAGCGCCAAAAGTCAGTACTTTGATTGCGTTGCAACCCAGCTACTTCTAGGCCATGATTACCTATCATTGAGTTACATGCATTTGGTCAAGTCTGAAAATAGCAAGTACACTCAAATCGCTAGAACATGACACTATGTCGATTTCTCATTCGGCTAAAGTGATCGTGGCAATTGTTGCTGAAATAGGCGTGCCGAGATGTAAAGACATGTCGTCAATAATCAGAACAAGTCACGTAAAAGAGAATAGCAAGAACCTGAGGTTTCAAACTGCAGCCAAGTGTTATGGGACCCTATAGCTAAACCATGTTTTTAAAAGATTTGCGTGCACATGTAAAGCGTGATCTTCACTTAGGATCTAGGTATTGTCCCAAGAATTAAGTATCAAATGGTCATCGCCAGGGATGGCCACTTATCCTGCAAAGATGGTTAAATGACATTCTGAACACGCCTGGCCACCTCAATGTTGTTCCATTGTGACCTAAGTTACATTTGATCCACGGTAAGATCGAACAGCGGGAGGATTCGAGTGGATCACCAAGACTAGCAAGCTTTTGGCATCTTCTCTCACTATCTACTTTAGGGGTGTGAGAGCATGAATTTTGACAGATCATCCGACTGTTTCTGTCTTGCCTTTACCAACTGCAGGAATGGTTCTTCCAGGCCGACTGAGCCAACCAGAATATGTTCAGTGCCGGAAACAAGTTGCTTGTATGTCTCATTGGTAAACGCGTCAACAGGCATTCCCATCGATCGACCTTTCTCCTCGCCCATGTAATCGTGCAATTCGGCTGGTGGTGTTGTCAGTGTTGTCCTGGATATCAAAAATAGCACATTTGACGACTGACTTTGCACTGAGGGAGGCCAGATCTCTACGATCTTAGTGCTAGACCCTTGTAGTTGTTGTCTCAGAGAGTAGACAAAGGCATGAAGAGCTGCCTTGGAAGCAGAGTATGCTGGTAAAGTCACTGCCGGAATCAGAGCAAGGTGAGTGCCGGTAATGATCAAACTTGTCGGGATTGTTTTCTCTTGAAGTCTCGGAAGGAATTTGACCGACATGTCGACAACGCTCAAGAAGTTGACGTTTATCTCCTCCCGAAAGGCATCAAGATCAACACTGCTAGGTTCCGACAACTTGATCTGACTTTGGATTCCCGAGTTGATGAACACACAATCCAGATCGGGAAACTCATCAACAACCCTGTTAAACTGTTAGTATAGTAAGTCGCTAGTGCTTGCCGTATGGAGGCATCAAGTCCGCAAGGCCTTTCTACGCTTCGGGTCGAGTAATCCATTCCGTGGTGGGGGAGGGGGAGGGGGCGGGGGCGGGGGGCTTGTGGGCAGTGATTTTCTGCACTTGGGACTGACCTCTTCACAAAATCATCGAGACCTGCCCTATTTGTAATGTCAAACCGGACAGAGGCTGCCTTGCTTGAGCCGTGCTTCTTGACAAATGCATCTAGTCGTTCCTGGCGCCGACCGACAGCGACGACTTTGACGCCGTTTCCGACAAGCTTATCCGCTGTTAGTATCCTTATTATAAGGTAGTTAGTTTCGAACTATAGGTTAATAAAGAGATTAATTAAACTATATAAATATTTACGTAGTAAATATAAAAAAAAGGTTCTAACTATAAGTTAGGCTAGCTACGATAATCGTAAATAGGGCCCCTAATTAGCCCCTATATAGTCAGCCGTATACTATAATTAAATTAGATTTTTAATCTAATACTAATTTTCTTTTTTTTTTATTAATTTAATTATTATAGTTAGAGGTATAATTCGACCTCGGGCCCGTTTACTAAGTCGTCTCCTTTTCCCCCTTTTCTTTACTCTTTTTATATAACCTATCCCTCTATTCGTATAATAACTTTTTTATTACTTACGAATTACTTTAATCCCTTATTTAGTACTATTTTTATAAAAGCGTTTACGAGGTTATTTTTATTATTAATCTAACAGATCTCGAGTATTTCGCGCCTTTTATATAATTACTTAAGGGCTATAATATTAATTATAAACCTTTTTTCCTTCGTCGTTCTTAATTTAATAAAGTATTCGTATAGTAAATAAAAATTAGTATAAATAATCGTTAAAATAAGTAAAAAGCTAAGTCGATTAATAATCTTCCTTAGTATTATTAAAATTATATAAGAGAGGTTAATATTATTAACTATATTATAAACCTCTAACGCTAGTATATTTCTCGTTACTTACTTATTTTTAGTTAATAAGTAGTAGATTATATTACTATATATAGTAAATTCGTTCTCGCCTATACTCTTATTAGCTAGGATAATAATATACCCTAATTATAAAATAAGGTTATTATTATTTATAAATAACTTATTAATAAAAACGTAAAGCTTACTAATTATAAGGTTAATTAGATAATAAACGAGGCCTCGATCGAGATTTATTTACTACTACTTAAGCTACTTATTAAGTACCTTAACGTCTTATTTAGTTAGGTCTATAGCCTACGCTACCTTAGCGTAGTTAAAAGTTACCTCGGGCTAATAAATATTTATAATATATACCCCTCGCGCGAGCTTAGCCTTATATTACTTCTTAATATTAGTTACGTTCGGATTAACGAGGTTAATTTTCTTACCCTACCCCTTTTATTAAAAAACGATAGTTTCTCTTTTGATTATAAAAATCCCGCTATTAAATACTAAGAGAGTATTTATTATAAGGACCTCTTTTAGCTTTACTATAAAGCCCGCTTTTTAAAGCTCCTTATCCTCCTTTTTTATAAAATTAATATTAAATAGGCCTAATATATCGTTAGTCTATATTTTAACGATCCTAAATTAATCACTTTCGTACTTAGAGACTAATAAGTACGGGTTATATATAAAAGTAACTATTAATAATTAATTAATATAAAAATCGTAATAAGTAGCTTATTAATAAGTACCCGATTCTACGAGCCTATATAGTAGCTTAAGTACTTTAATAATCGTACTTTCTAAGTACTTACTAGCTATTTCTTTTAGTAAATAGGCTAGGATTTTTTTTATAAGCCTTATAGCTAATTAAATATAGGCCTAAGTAATATTACGGCCCTAAATTTTATATCCCTTTTTTTATAACGATATTATTAATATTATTATTAATTATTAGCTATAGCGCTATATAGTAGGTAATTATATAAGTAGTATTACTTTTTTAATATTACCGTACCCCTAAATTACGTATTTAGATTTCTTATACGGCTAGGGTATTCTTTTCTTTTTAATTTTATAAACTATTCGCAATTTAAATATATAAAGGTTTATATACTTCTCTAAGTTATAAAAAATAAATTAATAAACCCCTTAATTACGAAAAGTATTTACTTTAATAAGATCTAATCCCTTATATAGCTTTTTAATAATTATAATTACGCCTTCTTTACGTAGTTTAACTATTAACTTAAAATTAGCTTTTTTTTTTACTATATAAAAAATATTAATTACCTCGTTATTAATAATAAATTACTACGTTAGGGCTTATTATTATAGTCTTCTATAACGTCTTATTAATAATATTAGTACCCTTTTAGTAATTTCCTTTTCCTCGTTATCTATTAGTATTACTACGACGATTTTATTAAAAATAATTTCCTATACCTTTACTACGGGTTATATAGTTTCCCCTAGCTCTTCTTCTTTTTATAAGTTAAAAAATACCTCGTTAAGATCTATATAGTACAGTCTAACTACCGTAATTAATATTTTAAATAATTAGTCGCAATTTCTCGTAACTATATAAGAGCGCTCGTTAATAAAAATTAACTTATATAGCCTAGCCTATTATTAAGTAATTTCGTACTATACTCGTATATTTAAATTTAGTAATATATCTAAATTACTTCTTATATCGGGCCTATTTTATATAGTAATTACCTCGTTAACTTACTTTTTTACGCTTACTTTACGTAGTACCCGTATTATTTTTTTAATTACTTAGGCTCGTTAGCTTATATTTAGTAATAATAATAAGGCTAAAATCGTTTTTAAATATACTCTAAATACTAATAGCGTTATTATAAGCCCGTTAGGCCCTATAATATTATTATAATATTTAAATACTATCTAAAGGTATTCGTTATTAATAAAATCGGGATTTTTTTTTTAATAATTCTAAACGCCCTTTTTAGTTACTAATATACCCTTTTTATTTTTTTAATATTATAATACGTTTTAACGAGTACGACTTTTAGCTATATACTATAAGCCGTTATATTTTTTTTAAATTCTACTAACTTAAAACTAATACTAATATCAGTTCTAATACCGTTTAGTAATCCTTAGTATATATCGATCTATCCCCTTCGCAGGGCTACCTATATTATTTTTATTTATAGATCTTAAAAAAATTACCTTACTTAAAAAGATATAACTATGTCGATTATATATAAGACTAGCTAACTATTTAAATAAAAAATATTAATAACGATTTCCTAATTAAAATTAAGCTCATTATATAATTTAAATTTAAATCTGCGTAAGCTCTATGTATTTATTTAGTATTAGTAGTATACTTTCGTTAACTACTCTAGCGCCCCTATTTTAATATTATTATTACTTAATTACTTTAAGAAGTTATATAGCCTCGTAACTAACGGGTACCCGAATTTCTAATATAGTTATCTAAGCTTACTTTTTATTAAGTAATTAATCGACTTCGTATCGTTAGTAAGCCTTATAAATATATACCCTTATTATTATTTAACTATCTTAAAATACTTATTATTAAAGATTCTATTCTTTATATTTTCGAATATAATACCTAGTCAATCTATATTTTTTAAGTATAAGAGAAATAGGGTATTAATAAGTAAAATATAAAAAGTTATCGTTCTGAAATATATTTCTATTTTTACTATACTTAGGGTAACGATTTCTTTACCTAGGCCGAAGCTAATTTTCGTAATACCCGCTATTAACGTATTAAGCGTTACTAATACAATTTTTTATAATACTTAAAATTACCCCTTTCTTTTTATTAACTATTATAATACCCTAGTATTTAAAATAATCCTATAGAAATTATTTAAGCCGTACCTTTTACTTATATAGAATACCTATACGAGCTTAGTATTTAAATAATCTAAGTAGTATAAAAAAGACCCCTTTAGCTACCCCTAGATTTACTTAGTATCTTATTCTTTTTCTTTAGATATTAAAAAAGATAGCGTCTTCTTTTTAAGTATTAAAAAAATAAACTTTGGCCTTATTAAATTTACTTTTTTAGCTACCTCTATATTTATTATCTAAAGGACCTTCTTTTACTATTTATAAATAAAAGCCTACTTATTAAGAGCTTTTATTACCCTTTATTTATTTAGCTTCGTATATCCTCTAGAGGCTAACGGGGTAAAAAAAGAGTAATTAATATTATCGATTTTATTATAATTTAATTTGTTAGTATAAGGAGTAAGATCTTTTTTATTTTTTAAATCTCTTATAAGGGGCGGATATTTTAAGTTACTACTTTAGCTACTATTACTAAGTTCCGTACTCCTAAATCTACCCTTATATATAATAAAGAATTAGTTAAACTAATAAGGGCTAGTTTTACTATTTATTATTCTTAACTTTTTATATTATTTATATAATTTAGTACGCTCTTCTTTAGAGTAATTACTTAACTAATATCTATCTTTTTTATAAATATAGTATTATTTTTTTTATTACCCTACTTATAAATTAAATCTCGGCCTATTTAATAAATCTAAACCTCCTTACTAGCGATTACTATATTTAGCCTCTTTTCCTTTCCTATTATACGTTCGATCGACCTAATATTATTAATAAGGGCCGTTATATACCTAAAAATAGGTTTAGTATAGTATTCTTATTTTAATATTAAAACTAAATCTTAGCCTCGAGTATAGCGTCTCATAGTTTTTAAGTACTTAATATAAAGTTATTTTTATTTTTAATATACGCTAAATTATAGTATAAAAATATCCGACTTTTTACTTATTAGTTTCCTTATTTAGCTAGGTTTTTATTAACTTATCGATTCGATTAATAAGCTTTTCGAGGATTTTTACTTATAATTTACCCTCTATTATCCTAGCTATAAATATAAAAAAAATCGCTTATAACTTAAATAAGAGCTCTAAGTTCTTATTATAAGTCTCGAAGTAGCTTTAAATTATATTAATAATACTAAAAAAGTCGTTTCGATTAGAATTATATACCGCTTTATAATAATAATTAGAGGCTTTATTTATGAGTATAATATTAATTACTAAATAGTATTAGTATTCCCTAATCCCGACCTTTTTATAATAATTATAAAATATTATTAAGGTTTCTTATAAGACCTTATACTTCCCCCTAGAGTATAATTTCTTTTTTAAAAAGATCTTTTTAAAATTAATAAATTACCTCGTATTCGCTACTATATTTTTAGTATTTATATACGATCCCTACGTAGCTACGTACTATTAATAACTTTAAGTCGTCTACCTCTTTTCTTATTAATTAATTAGTACCGAATTTTATATTAATAATAATAACGAACTATAGATCGAAATAAGTAAAATGGTTAATTATCGTACTTTTAATATTATATTTTATCTCTATATATCCTTTTATAATAATAAATTATTATTAGTAATTATAAGGAGGAAATTTATATCGTTTACCCTTTTTTTAAATTTATTAAAACGATTATACGCCCTATTAACTTATACCTAGTTCTATAATACGAATTCCTCTTTTATAATCGTTATTATTAAGATTTCGTACGGTTCTTATAACTATAACTATACTAATAATACCCCTCGCCTATAAAAAAATCTATTAACTACTTTCGTAATTCCTAGGCTTATACTTACGAACTATTTATCTAACTAGTAGCTAAGGTCGTTTACGATTTTATAAAATAGGGGTTACCCCTATAGCCCCTTTTTTTTATAAACCTTAGTTAAATAGATTAATACTATGTTAATTTACTTACTATTAGGTTAATCTACGATTCTATATATTTACGTCCCTTAATAATCTAGGTTAATATTTACTTATTTATAAAGGATTAGGATTCTATTTAAAATCGGGTTTTATCCTCTTTTTCCTTACCCTAACTCGCTAAGGGTCGTGCTCTAGCTTATACTTATATTAATAATCGCTAACGTATTTAATCTTAATAAGGATATATCTAATCCGCGCACTAGCTATAATAAATCTATATTTTTATTACTTAACGAATTTATTAAGGTTTAAGAGATTCCCACTTCTTTTTATTATTTTACTACTATTCTCGTTTTTATTATTTTTAATAATTACTATTACTTTTTTAAATCGCTAGCTATTATACTTACTAAGATCCTCCTTTTTATTTAATATAAAAAAGTAGGTTTTAATAATTCCTTTTTTTAATAATAGTAATAAACGTTTATATTACTATAGGACGATATAATAATTAGTCTTAGGATCTTTATTAGTTACCGATTTTTATTATTCTGTACGCTTCTAGCTTCTTAAGCCTCGTACTCTTTATAATCTTTAAATAGCCTCTTTTTTTAACCTACCTTTCTTAGGGTAGTATTCTATAAAAATAGTTAAAAATAAATACTAAGTAGCTCGTAAAAGAGCTATTTAAGTTATTAAGAGCTATATAAGTTATTAAATATAGTTAACGAAGTTAAGCCCTCTTTTTTATAAAATCGTAGATTTTAAAAACTTATTAAAAATACTTACTTATTACTTATACATAGTAGGGTTAGATACTTTAAAAATCTTATTTTATATAGCCTCTTAGTACCCTATTTTATATTTTTTAAATAGTTTTTTTCGTAGCTTAATTATAGTTAGGTAATTATTACTTACTAATAATCCCTTTTATTATTTAGTTAATTTTTTAAAATTAGTAATCTTATACTGGGAGCTAATATAAAAAAAAGCCTTTTAGCGGCCCTTTAGAAAATTCTTTTTTTTTTTTTTTAAATTCTTATTTTTTTAGCCTTTTTTTAGGCTAATAATAACTTTATTAAGAGGTTATAAGACTATTTTAGGGTAGCTACTTTTTTTTTAAGTTAATCTCTAAGATTTATAATACTTTTAACTTAATATTATTAAAACCTTTAAATCCCCTCCTCTCTTATTAAACTATCCTCTATACTATATTCTTAAATAATATCCGGAGAGTAGTTAAGGGAGCTATAAAGAGGTTATTTAAATCGCGGGCTTAAGGTCGTACTTATAAGATCCTCGTAATAATAGATTTTTTTATATATTATAAATCTCTTAGCTTAATAACTCCTATACGCTTCTTATTATACTAATTAAGAATATTTATATTTAGAGATCCCTTTTTTTAATTATATAGTACTTTTTTATACTATATTATTAAGCTCGCTTATTATACTAATTAATAGGGCGGGTAGTTATTATATAAGTATTTTTTTTTACTAATTTAACTAGTTAATTTCTAATTACGGGCCGGCTATAAAAAAGTTATTTAGTAAAAGAGCTATTTAAAATAATAGTAAAAGTCTAGTTATTTAAATAGTTCTATTAATTAACATAGTTTAATATAATAAACGTCGACCTCTCGTAAGTAGTAAAGGGCTACGATTATTTAATTCTATATAGTATTTAAGAATCGCCCCTTTTTTTATCTACTTTTATAAAGTTAATTAGTATAAATCTCTTATCCTATACGGTATTAAGAAGTCGTTTTTTTTATATAATAAGATACTTTACTAATTTATAATAATAGAATTTAATTACTAATTAATATTAGTATTTTTATTATAAAGTAGTTAGTTTCGAACCATAAGTTAATAAAAAGATTAATTAAACTATATAAATATCTACGTAGTAGGTATAAAAAAGAGGTTCTAACCGTAGGTTAGGCTAGCTATAATAATTATAAATAGGGCCCCTAATTAGCCCCTGCGTAGTTGGCCGTATACCGCGGTCGAATTGGACTTCTAATCTAACATCCGCCATTGCTGCTCTAATGCCCGATGTGGCACCTACTAGAAGTACTTGCTTATATGGGAATGACATGTTAGGCAGATAGTTAACTTGTTTATTTGAATGCTGATTACCGTTGAGACGAGGCAAGATGTCCACTGGGTGAAGTGTAGCTGAATCGCGATCGTTAAAAAGTCCTGATGCCTTGTAATGCCAAGCTTTATACTTTGGTGTTCAACCTCGCCGATGCCTATTGAAACATTGATATAGATATTCCCGAATCGCGAGACAGCTTACTCCCGGCGCTAAGATCAGTGTTTGTGGCTTCGATCGCTGGATGTCGGACTGTTGGCGGTAGGCGGATTCAATCATCGGGATTACAGAAATGCATTCTGCCTAAAGCCGAGCGACCAACCATTTTCTGACGTCTAGTATGTCCGAGACACGCATCAACACCAATGCTGCTTGCCGTGACCCGGGCTTACAACGAGAAGAACGACGTCAAAGAAAACAGTAAATTGCCGATCACGCCGAATTTATGTAGCTTTCACCTGCTGGCAGCTGGGATATTTGAAGTTTATGTCTATTATCTTGAGAAATCTATATGTCTAGGGGGGTATATCTGCACCCGCAAATTCGGGGATGAACCATCTCACATCATCATAGTGCAAGCACCATTTCTATTTCTCAGCAACGATGTACTCCGTGCAAAGGAGCTCGGATCTCAGATCCATCACATCAGCGATAGTCTTGTTAGGGATGATCTCAGCCATCCACAAAACGTGGTTCAGAGTGGTGTCGTTGCCTGCATCACCGTCGTAGTCGAGGTAGGCCGCAGAAGGCGTGAGCCAGCGGTTCTGCTCCATGATGAAGGTGGGAGGGATGAGCTGACCGCTCATATCAGTGAGGCGCGAAGAGAGGTTCGCGAGTTGCCAGTCCCACCAGAGGCGATCCAAGTTGGCATGGTGCAAGAAGAAGATCGGGTCACCAGGGCTGGCGTTTTGGTTCTCCATCTATCACAGGCGTCAGAAATACAGCCGAAGATTGGATTGAGAAGGTTACTTACGGTGCCGCCAGTAGCAAGGTGGCCACAAGAGTGAGGGGAATCAACGTAGCAGAAGTTGGCCTCGTTGTAAGTCTCCTTCACGTAGCACTCGTCGACGTAGGACTGGTTGGCGAAAGTAAAGGCAGTCTGGTTAAACTCGCGAGAGAGGCAGTATTCGTCATAGTAGTCGATGCCGTAGACCTGGTCCATGCGAAGGGTGGTGTTGGCGAAAGGGCCATCAATGACGCAGTTGGTGCCTTGAGTGGTGTTGACACCGTTGGTTCCGAAGCTGAACTCATCAGAGCCCCAAACAGAGGCCTTCTCGACAGTTCCAAACACCTCAAGGTCGCGCTGCTCGTCCCAGTAAGGCAGAGCACCAGTGTATCCGCACTCCTCTTGGAGAAGGATTTCGTGGAGACGAAGGAAGAGGCGGTGCCAAGGAAGGAAGGCTCTGAATGTTGAGTTAAAAAAAAACAAGTCGAGACTGGCTTTCCAAAAAGCTTACCCAACTCCGTGAATGAAGTTCGACTGTTCGACGTGGCAACTTTGAAGTTCATCCCATCTTGTCTTCGCACCCTTGATGCCCGTCTTGGCGGGTGATTCGAATAAGCATTTGACGGCCTGAAGGTAGTCGGATTTCTCCTGGTTCTCCAGAGTGTGCCTGATTATTGATGTTAGTATCTTCCTGGCAGAAGTGATGAAAACATTCAGGTGATGACTGACCATGCCTTTCTCTGGTTCATAGAAGTGCAAGTGGAATTAGAAAAGGTTCCATTGTGGCCGTTGTGACCATGAGCGGGAAAGACAGGCGATGCGCTAGCGAAGGCAACGGCCGAGGCCAGGCTGAAAAGAGTGGACGACTTCATGTCGATCAGTGAGAGATAGGCAGTTCTGGAAGAGATCTGCAGGGAAAGCGACAAACAATGTGGTGAAGAGCAGACTCTTTTGTCTTTATGCTTCGTGGAAAAGGGAGACAGTTTCACTTATACTGACAGCACGACCTTGCCAAGACCTCGGGATCTCCCTAGACTCCTCCTAAGATAGGAGTCCAAGGACCCGGAGTGGAAATTTTTGAATTCAAGATTCTTCAAGCTCCGAAGAACAAATATCCACCGGCTACGCAAAAAGTTGCGATGGCCCTACGAAAGAAGCCGCGCATGCGGCTTGGGGATCCGCTGACCCCATCGTAAACTTGGCGAAGCTTGAGATAAAGATTTGCCCCCCGGCGTCTATTCGTCTCGAGTTGCCCATTCGGTGGATGCCGGACAGGGGTATCAATGATGCAGCGTTCATCCAAAGGTAAAAATCTTAGCATGGAAGTCGACCGAGGCCCGATCTGCCTATCCGTAATCTATGTCTTGTGGGCCATGATGGATACTAAAAAACCTACTGCTTCCCTGACAGCATCCCACCTGGCATCCCACATACCGAGGGTCTGGATCCGTGGATACAATGGATGGCTTATTGGACGAATGAAAGTTTCACGCACAAGACAAGCACATGCCGACTTGCGAGTTGGGACGAACATGCACAGCCGCCGGAAAGATAAAAAGGGTCATCGGGTCCGGAATCCCACCTTCGGCTTGGGGCAGATCCGAGACTCCATCCCAGCCGGCAACGGCGACGGCGGCCTTACCCAGCCCCCAACGTGGCGTAGCTGGCGACGAAAACAACATGGAGCCAGTTCCAGTGATGATCAAGGAAGGAAAAAGCAACTTCAGAACAAGGGAAACGGCAGTCTGGCCCGTGTTGTCAACGTTGTTTATCGGAGACCGAGTCAGTAGGTACTTGACTCGTTGTCGACAGAAAAGAAGAAACAAGCACCAAGGCATCCAGCATCGGAGATTTCTTTTCGAAACAAAACCCCGATCCATGTACGATTCGCCCTTCGATTGAGAAAGTTCGATGACAACCCATGACATCCTCAAAATGACCTTGGGCCAAGAACCACACGTATCAGTGGTAGCGCCATTAAGAATGATTGGCAATTGTTCTGAAAAGTCACAACGCGTAGTTATCGGAAAGTACTATACCTATGTTCATAGATTTCACATGCAGTATGTTATCTTGGTATTTGAGCCGCAAGTGACGTCGTCTTTATTGGGCTCTTATTACATTTTTCTCATTGCTACGGACTGTGGTAGGGCCAGGTCATCATCACGGTCGTGACTTAAACCGGGAACATAGTGGAGAGTGTCGTCATATAACAGTGTAAATGCAACCAGCCCAACAGCGGCTGCGACCGAATAAAACTGTTTCAACAATGCCACGTTCTCGACGTTTACCGACGAAATGGAAACTGTTCTAGGATCAACGATCCAGTGGGGGCAAACGCCGCCGACCGAAAGTTAACGAACCTTATCCAAATCTAGGGGCGGACCGTGCTGTTGCACCCCAACTTAGCCGGCAAAGTCTTCCAAAATTGGCACAAATAGGAAAGTGAAAGGCATCGCTTGCTTCATCGTTCGACACTTTGATTGGTATATATATTTCTTGTTTACTGTACGTTCCAAACTCAAAAGGATGGATCGCGTGTCTATTTCGACTTCATAACGTTTGGGTCTGAGGAGGACCGACACTCGTCTAGTGGCTTCTCATTAAGTTGGCTCAGTTTATGATTTTACGACTTTAATATGCTAGCACATCCGACTGGTCTAGTCATATCACCGAGATTCGAATTTGAAAAGTCAGTACAAGTCTATATAGATCTATCCATGTGCCGTGAATCTACACCCCACCCTTATGCCCGATTTTGGTGAGGCAATGCCTAAACCCTTGACATGAAAGAGAGTATGTAGTTGTCTTAAGGCCTTTCTTCGTCAAGCAGATTTCTAACCAGTCTGAGACAAGTGGGATGGTAAAAGTCTTGATACTTCTTGAACAGTTCCAACGCCAACTCTTCGTCAACCGACAACAATTCTTTGAATCTGTAAACTGTCAGCCATGGTATTGACTTGCGCTCTGGTCGAGGCGACTTACAGCGGCCTCACAAACTTCATTCTGCCTGTCTGTCCCAGGATATCCTCAGTCTGCTTCAAAACACTGCGATCGCCGGCTCTGAGCGCAACACGAAGGTATCGAGTGACGATTTCAAGATTGCTAGACTTTCCCACGTCATACAACTCGTCAAGAAGCTTACAATACTCGAGTGGGATTGGCTGCGGACTTTCAATGAGTAGATCAAGAAAGACTAAAACTTGTCCCGCTGTCCAACCCTCGACATCGCTACCAGACGGCCTGAACGCAGATTGGACCGAGAGACTGCCCCATTGATCTGCCAATTCGATGGCCTTCTTGTAAAGCTCAGAGCAAAACCCTGGCTTTGGGGGCGCGCCTGGTTTGTGAAACCAAGAATTCCAGTCAACGCAGCCAAGTGAGGAAGTAGCGGCGGCGTCGGGTGAGAAGAACTTGAGAACACAATCCTTGAATCGGGATGAGTCAACCGCGGCACCATAAAACGTTCTGAAATACTTAAGTGATGGATTGTTAGTCTTCGAATGGTAGACAGCAAAATGGTAAACTTACATATGGCACAAACTTGAGCCACTTCTCTCGTCCGACGGTCTCTTCAAGGTAGCATAGGAAGGTGTAGCCTTTCTCGTACGAGATCTTGGACATAATATCGTCCGGCCTCTTGCCTTCAAACTCAAGTACCAAGCTAGTGAAGACGCTGTCTTCGCCGCCATAAATTTCAATAGATTGGATAAGGTCCTGCCAGCCAACGATAGCTTGGAGCTCGACCTCGTCGTTCCCTCTGAGTTCGCGCACAATGTTCCTCTCAGTCCAGACAGTCCAGCCTTCATTCAGCCAAAAGTGCTCCCAGGACGCATTAGTAACAAGATTACCACTGTAGCTGTGCGCGAACTCGTGCGCGACCACAGAGATATTCTCTCGGTCTCCCGAGACGACAGTGGCGCTGTAAAAGTTGAAGATTGGGTTTTCCATACCGCCTAGATGGAACGATTTTGGTAACACGACCAGATTGTAAAGTGGCCACGGATACTCGAAGATGATATTCTGATACGTCGCAATTATGTCAGCTCAAGGCTTTTCCTGCTCAGGCTCAGCTACTTACCTCTGCAGATTTGATTATTGCCTGTAAGTCCGGCTGAAACTCCTGTTTGCAGGCTTCCAAGTCACCAGGGGCGCAGTAAACATAGCTTTTCGGTCCAATCTTCTCTCCCGCCAAATTCCTTCCAAGAGCTGTGTGAGTAATTGAATATGTGAGGACGTTCTTCGAAAGGCTTACCCGCTTGCTACGGCGAAGAGGTAGTTTGAGATTGGAATCTCCATCTTGAATCTGTAGGTCTTCCGTTCGGTCGTGTCCGTGATTGGTGGGAAGATCAACTCAGACTCAGGAACACCACTCGCTACGACAGGAAGTATTGAATGTATTGTTATATCGAAAGTGCTTTTGATGGAGGGTGTGTCCTGGCACGGGAAAATGGAGCGAGCATGAACCGGTTCGCACTGGGAGACTATCGACCATCAGCTGAGACCGACAAGTCGCAATGCAGCCCAACACTCACACATGAAGGGGTATTCTTTATCATCTGTCTGCGAGGGGCTGAACCACTGAAGGCCCGTGGTGTTCTCGGTAGTTTCGAAGTCGACCTTGCCAGCGACTATATTAGCCAACTCCATCATTGATGATACCGCAGGATTGACAATTCAACGTACTGTGAGCTCAATTGTTTCCCCTTCACCATAGCGTCGTCCAAGTTCGATGCATAATGGACTGCCATTCTCTCCATCGTCGGACTTCAATGTCCACGCAGCCTCACTTCCTTGATAGCTTACTCCCTTGATAACGACATGGCTTGTGTCTAGAACAATTTCGGCGAGACCATGAATTCGTGCTTGGCCAGTAATTGAAGTTTGACCAATCAAGATCTTACGGTCAAAGTCAATCGTCAAGTCAAGGGCCGTATGCTGGGTCGAAAAGTCTTGAAAATTGGAGCTAGTGTTGACATCTGTGACAACGTTGGTTAGACACATGGTGCAACTGCGAGCGAACGTCGTCCGCGCGTGGGAAGAGAAGCTTGGCTGCTGTTTGTCAGAAAGAGAGACTGGCAATCAGGCCTACTATCATTCCTGCAAGTGAATGATTTCTTGAATTTGAATGATTCTAAGTAAGGTATTCGTAGATGTAGTTCGGGTGCTTAACTCAATCGTGCCCCGCATTCTTCTCTGCCCCTCACCTGTCGTTCAACATTGCCTATTACGGCAATCCGGTGCACCCCGCGCTAGCTGCTTCGCCTACTTGCAAAGACACGATGGCAGATATTGGCTCGTTCAAGTTTACCGCTTGAGGCCGTTGTTTAAGCGAGCTTAGACGCAGAATGCAGCTCATCGTTATCTCTAGCAGTCAATTACAAATTTTGTTGGCTTTGACGCCAGAAGTTTGTGACCTCTTTGAGATAAGCTCCGTAGAGCTTGATGGCGTTGATGCTGTTGAAGAGCGAGTTAGCCCCTATGGAATTCCAGGCTTTGATGCTGCATATCGACTTACTAGTTGCTCTTATCCAGCTTCTCGTTAGTGGAATGTTGTCCATCGGTAGGCCGACCAACAGGCATAAGGAGCACATTCTTTTTCAAGGTCTTCTTGAAGTCCAAGGCGATGGGTATGCTGGGTAAAGTTAGTGCTAGTCTATCACGCTGGGGTTCGATGTAAAGGCTAACCTTCCACCTTCACAGGTCAAAGCAGGGTCAACGCCCCACACGTTTCGTGTTGCCTGAATCGCAGCTTGGTAATTCCAGTGGCTCGCCTCCTCGTAGAACCAATCATTCGGATGACACTCAATTTCGAGTTCGTTTTTACTTCCTAGACTCTCGAAACGGTCCTTGACGTGTTTTCGCACCAGCTGGTCAATGTCCTCCCACTTCATAAAGGGCACAGTACGGATACTGAACTTTCCGACGAGCTTAGCAGGTATAGATGTGACAGCTCCGGCTCCAGGCAGGGCATTCTCTATCCTGTGCAAACTGAGAGATGGCTTCTTCCAGCTACGGGGCGGAGAATGAGATTAGCTTACTGATCTGAGGATAGAGTGCGGGTGAACGTACCGAGCGACCAGAGCGTCAGCCTGATTGTCGTGGAGGCTTCTACCCCCTGTGCCACCGTACAAAGAGTCTTCCGAAATGTTCAGCTTTTGGTAGCTCTCGTACTCTTCTTTCGTGACAGCTTGGACATTGTCGTAGATCCCAGGGACCAGAATATTGCCATTCGCATCCACCAAAGAAGACATGATGTTGACCATGTCTGTCATCGGCTCCGAAATCTGACCACCGAACCCACCACTATGGGCATCCACTTTGGCACCTGTGATGGTGACAAGGTAGAAGATGATGCCTCTGAGTCCTTGAGGGACGCTAATCTGCTCGTCGCTCACCCAAACAACATCCGTGATGCAGACCACGTCGACATCCTTGAAGTACTTGTCTGCCTCATCCTCCAGGCCCTGCCGAAGGCCAAACGATGCGGTCTCTTCCATGCCTTCAAAGCAGAAGACCAAGTTAGCCGGTACGTCTACATCTACCTTTTGGAAAGCTTCTATCATGTTGATCCAGCCAATGAGAGGGCCCTTATCGTCCGAGGTTCCTCTGCCGCAGATCTTGCCGTCTTCTTCAACCGTCATCACGAAGGGCTCGTGCTTCCATCCGTCCTCGATAGATGCAGGCTGAACATCGTAATGGCTGTAAACGAGCACCGTTGGCTTTTCGGGGTCGCTGCCATAGCGTCCCAATACCAGAGGAGGAAGGTTGAGGTCTGTACCCTCCTGCTTGCCCAGATCTTTGAGTGTTACCTCAACACCAACAGCCTTCAGCTTGGTCGCAACCCATTCACTCATCTGCTTCTCTATTAGATATTGTTATCTCTATGCCTTGATGGCATATGGGTTATTCGTCTAACCCACCGCGAACACATCCTTCCTATTATCTGCATAAGCAGAGATTGAGGGAATCTTGATGGCGTCTCCAAGTCCTACACAAAGTCATAGTTAACTAAATATGGTCCTTTCAGCCAAAGCCAAAAGTAACTGTTTGGACGTACTATCGATGAAGACACTCTCAAGCTCATCAACCCTGTCTTCCAGATTAGCGAGGCAAAAGTGCAAGGGTGTCTCTCATTTTTCACGGACTTTGCATAGAAGCTAGCTAGTGCTTCATTGGTATCGTTCACCGGGCGTGCTGGAGTAGGAACCATCGTGGCGATAGAAGCGACGTCCTTAGTCAGCAAAGAACTGGCTTTTCGACTACAATTAAGCTTCTCTTAGCACTATCACCAGCTGCAATAATTGACTCTGGGCGCTAATTTTGGTGTTGAAAGAGGGGAAGTTGGGCTTTCCGAGTCGAGTCTAGTCGCACCGAGACCCACGTCAAGCGAGATCGGATTACGAGTGATGCAGCGTGGGGGCCGATACAAAAGTCCACTTCGAGATATTACCGAAAAAGGAAATTGGGAACGAGAGAGCTGACTTACACTTATTTAGACATTAGCATGAGAAAGGAGACGACAAGGTACTGCAGAATGCGACGAGATCTTGCAGTCTGGTAAAATAAGTCCCATGCAAAGAATCGTATTTCCACCAGTTGGACTTTCCTTTCTTCCTTGATGTTACCGTTCATTTAGGCACACTCAACTTTACCAAACATGCAGCAAAAACGCAAGATCCTCGTAATTGGCTCACCTCGCGACGTCATACCTAACAAAGTATGGGCGGACTTCAGCTCACGGTATGAAACTCTAATGTACGACTATCCAAAAGTACAAGACTTCTACCAGTCCATGACTTCCGGCACCTGCAAGAGCATTGACGGAATCATGCGAATCGGCATCAACACTCCGCCCGACAACGAGAAATTGGGCATGGGCTGGACTAGACGGGCTCTGCCACATCTTGCATCAACTCTCAAGATGATTGTCAACTTCGGACATGGTTTCGACGAAGAAGATGTTTCGGGACTCAATGCCCGTGGCATAGACTTTTTCAACACCACAGGCGGGAGCGAGGCGACGGCCGTGGTCGCGGTCTATCTCATCATCTCAGTATTCCGTCAGCTAAATCGCTACGAGCGAATGCTCCGCGACGAGCAGTTCTGGCCAGCCTTGAGGCACTCGTCTCAGAACGCAGTCGATCCCTTTGGAAAGAAAATTGGCATAATTGGCATGGGTTCCATCGGCCAGACCGTCGCGAGACAGGCAGCTGCTCTCGGGATGGAGGTTCACTGTATTGATAGGCCCAATCTTCGGAGAACTTTGGAAGTAATGAAACATGAGAACGAGCACGTCAAGGGGCTTTTGCCACCGATACTGTTTCATAAGGATCTTGAGGGCCTCGTCGCTTCCGTGGACTGCTTGGTTCTGGCATGCTCTTACTCTCCAACGACACATCATCTTTTGTCGAAGGATGTCTTCTCCGGGATGAAGAAAGGAATTCGAATCGTCAATGTGGCCAGGGGTCGTTGTATAGATGAGGAAGCGCTGTGTGATGCCATCGACAGCGGCACTGTCGCAGCGGCTGGGCTGGATGTTCACTACAACGAGTGAGTTTCTGATGTCATAGTCTCTTCATATTGCCTGTGCAAAGCTAACACTTGTAGACCAAATGTAAACCCAAGATTACTGAATCACGACTGCGTGACACTTTTACCTCATCTCGGAGGACTCACCCACGATTCAATGAAGGTAGACGCTTGAGTTGCGCCCGTTGCAGTAAGACTCTTGTTGCTAACCACCAGACAGAACCATGCGTTGATGGCCTTGAAGTCAGTAGATGACTTCTTTGCCTGTTCGAATTTGACGTAAGGCGTTTCAAGTCAGGATGCGGTTGAATAAGTCTGTGAGAATAACGTAGTACAAGATATCACTGAAAAATTATTGCAGACGTATGATCAGCATGGCATCGGGAACTGGATAGAAATGAAGTTGTTTCACACTTGATTTTGATATGTAGTCCATACCGCCAAACACCATATGCCATTACGAGTGTGCTGCTCGCAATTCTCTTGCTCTTTTGTTGCATCAATCATAAGCTCCCACTGCTGCCTCGACAAGCGGCTAAGCTCGATCATAGGCTTGATTGTCCAGATATCTCCTTTGAGAGTAAGTGGCTGCGCCGTTGCGGACTTTTAGAAAATATTAATCGAGTAAGTGAGGTAACAAGCAGACATATGATACGCTTTACTCTGACAACGGTGATAAATCGGCCTTCTGTCAACTCTGAGTTCTATGTTCTGTGAGATCTAAGGTACGTGAACAAGAAAATGCAGCCCATTCTCCAACTATAGTCACACCTTCGTCTTCGTTTCATCTATTATACGCTTCTTTCAGTGAGGCAGGAAATCCGTTCCTGAATTGCCTTTCACTGCTCAGCAACGACGTATCCCCATTCGTGTTCTACTCGACCGTAGATGATATCCTCCAACCAGGATTTGATGGTGTTGGAGTACGCGGAGCGCGGTGTCTTGTGCCCCTCATCAGTAACCATCATGGGGAATTGAATCTCAGTGTCGCCATGCTTGATCACGGAGACCGGGGTGATAAACATCTGTATATGACCCGTAAGCTAAGAGAAATTGATAAGCCAGAAAGACACCTGTTAAACTTACCGCAGTGCCAGAAACAAAGGCCTCCACTAGCCGACCTTCCTCATATGCTTCCACAACCTCACCCATAGTAAAAGGCCGCTCGACAACATCCAGCGGGGCAAGCTCAGTCTCAGCCGTCGATTCCCGCGTCAGCCTCTCCCTCGCAACCTCCAAAACACTCCGTCGAGTGATGCCATCCAGGATAACCTCCGTGTCCAAAGAACTAGTTACAAGCTCAATCCCTTCACCCCCCTTCTTCCTCCACACAACAAAGAAATTACTCGCCCCAGCCTCCGTAACAATCCTCTCCTCCCCAAACAACCACAACGTCTGCGTACACCCCTGCGCCTTAGCCGCCGCATGCGAAACCATAGCAGGCCCGTAATTCGCGCCCACCTTCGCGGACCCGAACCCGCCAGGCCAGGCGCGGATATGCTCAGGGCTGCTAGCGAGCAACTTGATGCCCGGGTGCGGCGCATTCTTCGATCCTCCTCCCAGAGACTGCGGAAAGAGCGCGGCAAAGAGGAAGAACAAGGCTTCGGGCGGCTGGTTGATACCGAGCGCGGAGCCGCTTCCGACCATGGCGGGGCGGACGTAGAGGTTTGTGCCTGGATCCGGAAGCCAGCGGGGGCATTCTGTGCCGAGGTAGGTGGTGATTATGGCGAGGAGGGCGGATGGGTTGAAGGAGGGGAGGCCTACGCGGGCGTTGGACTTCAGAAGGCGGGCGCAGTTGAGGTCTGGGCGAAAGAGGCGGAGTTTGTTGTCGTGGCCTCGGTAGGCTTTCATTCCTTCCTGGTAAGGGTGTCAGTTCTTGGGTTCATGAATCGGGAAGAAGAAATTCGTGTTTAAAAGCTTCTCTTGTGTAGTATTTGGACTTACGAAGGACTCCGTGGCGTAGTGTAGGACGCTTGCTGTTGGCTCGAGGGCGATCTTGCCGTAGGGACTCATTACGGGTGTTCCCCAGCCACTTTGCATAGCCCATGGGACTTGTACCATGTGTGCCGTTGTACAGTTCTGGCCTAATCTCACTGGATCGTGGGCATCTGGGACGGGCAGTTGGTCTGCCTCGGGGACAAGAGTCTTGAGCATCTTGGTGACGTCCAATTCTGCGTAAGGGTGTCCATTGTCGGGCAGGCCACTCGCTTTTGGCAATGTCGCCGAAGATGTGCTGATAGCGCTGGGACTCATCTTGATGTCCTGACTCAATGGTAGGAACGGAGATGAATCTGGATATTCTGGTGGTGGACGAAGCTCAAGGGTTCCAATCACGAGTAGGATGTCCTAATTTGTTGTTCACCGTGCACATCGAGAGCGCGCGTCCATATTTTATAACCACAAACTCCCGGATAAGCACCTTTTTGTTTTGACATCATCCTCCAGCTCGAGCTTAAGCTCAATTGCTGTGATGGCAGAGCAGGATGAGCTGCAAGTGATGAATCTGAACCATTTGTTGGAATTACCCAATACGGCAAATGAGAACGAGCACGCTAAACCGTCCCCACACCGACCGGCTGACGATCGGAGGCCCGCCGGCCGGCGCCCGTCATCCCGCAGAAAATTTCAGCCAAAAATCCTCGGCGATGGGACCTGCATGTCATCGGATACCGAGCCCACATTCCGAGATCTTCTCATTTTCACAAAATTCCATTGTCATCATCGTCATTGGTGCGCTGGGAGTCCACAAGCATGGGCGTTCCGGATTTCCTATTACGGTATTTCTACAAAGTCAATACTCCAACCCCGTTTACACCGCGAATAAATCTCGACCGAAAACTTGTCAGGGTCCGTCTCCTCGTCCTCGCTTGGCGTGGCATCTGTCTCCAGGTCTATCAGTCGAACTTTGATGATCTCCCAGTTGTAGCGCGAGCCGCGACGCGTGTATTCTTGGTCAACGTAATTCAGCACGCGGTGCGCGTGTCGCACGTTCCAGATGCCCTCCCTCTCCCGCGGGAATCCAGCGATCCAATTCTTGACCCAGTCCTTGACCTCCTGCTCCTCCGACATGTGATAGCAGTTCATCATCGCCGCGACCATGCCGTGGGAGTATGCGTTGACCGCCGCGCAGGAGGCGTAGGGCACGCCTGCTGCCAGGCGGCAGACGAGGAGGACGATTTTCTTTGCTTTGGGGGGTAGTTGGCGCACTGCGCCGGGCAGGTATCTCGTTTCCAAGCGGAGGAGAGACACGAGGTAGTGCATGAAGGTTGTTGCAGCCTTGACGGGCTCTGGGGCGTCCGGGATGCTGAGGGGCCTGATGGAGATGCCAGGTCCTTCTGCATCTTCATTGTAAGGGTTTGCGGTGTGCTCGTGTAAGGGTGGCACGTCACAGTCAGGCACGGTCTTTCGCCAGGCTTTTAACTCCTCGATAAGGCTTTCTGCTTGCTCTCGCCAGTGAAGGTCGTGTTGGGGGTTGCTCCTCCACTCTTCTTCCAGCTTGATGACCCGCGGTAGGATGAAGAGCAGCCGGTCTGCCGAATGAGGCGAGTTTACTAGAGATCTGCTTAAAGAGTCTGAAACGTCTGGAGACGCTATGCTGTATCGTACAGAGTATGCCCTGTCAAAGATGTCCAGAAGCGCGGCGATCCTCGAGAACGATCGAATGAGCGACTCTCCCACCGGCGACTCCTGCACGCGGTTGAGGTGTTGGGACAGGAAGGTGACCGCAGCCCGGCTATGGATGTACCACAATTTCATCTGGCCTCTCTGTAGTTCAAAGTTGGCCAGCAGTAGAAGAGTCGCCAGCCATGAGATGGCGTTGTCTTGGTTCGGCGGACAGCCCGTAGCGACCCCTTCATCGTCGAGCTGTGCCATGCGCACCGTACCGAGGGCAGTGACAAAGTGATCGAGGGCTTGCAGTGCCGCCTTACTACCGAGCGCCTCCGTCGGCCTTGCCTGAGAGATATCCAGCGCCGCCAAGGCCAATGCAGCGTGGAAGAAGGCCTTGTCAAGGTGCTCAGCCTGTAGGATATCATTCAGTGACAAGATTGAGAGGGTGCCGTACGGAGAGGTATCCGTGAAATGGTGATAAAACACCATGTCCTCGGCAAACTTTGCGCTCTCCAACAAGCCGACTGGAATCGTTGGCACTGAAGTCAATTGCCGATTCGCCTGATCTGACTGTCTTTGTCGCAGGAAAGGCGAGTCAATACGTGGGTAGACTGGCGTGGAACTCGGCGTGGCTACGCCCTGATAAGAGGTGTTAAGCCCATCATCCGTATTGGATTCTTCTAGTCCACCGAGAGTGGAATCAGCTTGCAGAGTCGTGTCATCAAATGGCGTGTAGAACGAGGGCGATTCTGTTTGATGCCCACCAGCAGGAACCAGTGAGTCCTGGTGAATGCCTCCAGATATCAGGGCGAGTGACGCGGCCGCCTCATAGTGGGATAATTCTTGTGATTCGTCAAAGGTTTGATGGCTTTCGTCAGCCGAATGGAAAGTTTCATCTCCCGGTGTCACAACATGCTGGCTAACTTGATGCGACTGCAATGTCGGTTCTACACTGTCTTGGGCATTCGACGAAGGCGATGGCTCAGTCGGAGCTGGCGTTTGTGCCTTTTCTTTGCGTTTTCTGCCATGTTTCCGCTTCAGCAGATCTGTCTGATCTCTGAACTTGATCGGTGTCGCATAACCGCCGCACTCGAGATTGAGCCTTGTACACTAGATGGAGTCACAGTCAGAGCCAAACTTGACAAGACTGGCGAGATGTGGACTTGCGTTGTTACAGTGGGGCTTCTTTTCGTCGCATTTCAGTCTGCGGGAGCGACAGGTCACGCAGCCTGTGCGATCGCGAGTCGTAACATTGCGCTTCCGGATGCCGTGATCAACCATAGACACAAGGCATATGAAACAAGTGCCAGCTATCAGAGAACGATCTCTTATCTGATATGATGCTTGCTATGTCGCCGACAATTAGGCGTGAGAACAAAAGATGTGGATTGGGAGAATTTGGTTCGGGTGATGTATCGTTTAAGATTTCCCTCTTAGGGTGCTTGGGACCCCGCAGCGATGTCGAGTCAGGCGACTTTCCGCTAATTTGGACGCCCTCGTCACCCTGCACCCCTCCCTAGAGGACCGTTATTGGGGTTAACAGGCTTGGTGGTCGCTGGTGTACGTGGATCTTGAGGAGAGCGGCCATAGAGTCCGTTAAGAAGTACTGAAGAGGATGGAACGAAAAGCCTAGAGATTGTCAATTGATCCGGATGGTCGGCCAATTTGTTTTCAAAGATTGCTCGAATCGAGGTCTGAAGCAACATCAGAACTGGGATCCCGCACACTTGCCCAGTTTAACCAGCCCGGTCGTAGGACTTGGTCACCCCAGGCCCTTCTCTTGACGAAACTGAAGGCATGCGTTTCTGATTCTCGCTGTTCGCCATTTCTCGATTTCCATCGACTGCACTGATGGAGTGCTCCTGATGATTTGGGTGAATCCTCTGACTATCTTAGACTCAGGAGAATCCAGGAAAAGGGTAGCGCTGGCAGTCGGTGCTCGAAGCCATGGTTATATCATCGGACAAGGAGACATCACGGGAGAGAAGGAAGAGAAAATAGAGAATGGCCAGCTAGCCGATATAAGGTAGAGACAGAGAGACCCGTTATTATCAGATATTCAGACATCGCTGGATGCCCACCCGCGGATATAATCGTAGGCCCGAATAAGCATGATGATAGATGAACGCGATTTCATTCGATGAAAACAGACGGACAGGGGCAAGGCAAAGCTTCTGCTCGTGAACCCCGAGATCGACTCAGACCCCAGTGTCGGCGTCGGAGTCTCGCCTGAAATCGCGGCGCGGGAGGAGCCGCACGTCGGGACGAACGGCATCGCGGAGCTTATCGTGGGTAGAAAAGGTGGGCAAGGAGTTCGGGACCCAGAGAGTGTTAGTGAGCGCAAATGTCGTCAAGGGCAGGGTTAGAAAAAAATAAAAACTAAAAAACTCTTCCAAGCTGAAAATTGCACCGTCCCAAGAGCCGAAACCGAGCGATGGAATTGGCGCGACCTGAGTCTTGTTGGTTCTGGTTCCCGAGAGGTCCGGCGGGCATTCCGTCACTGCCTTCAGTTTTGGTGCGTGGCTGCCGCGTTTGGAGAGACAAGGGGACATCGACGTCATTGCACGCTCACTGATTGATGAGTCAGCTCCACACCTCGGCTCCACAGCACCCCTGCCAAGGCAATTGGGAGCTGGCAGGAGCTTTGGGCGCAATGACGACGGACAAGAGAGAGCAAGAGCACCTTCCCGCCGTTTATTATTCCACGGCCAGCCACATTCCTGGCTGTTTTCTTGCACTCCCTCAGTCGTAGCACAATTTCTCAGGTCTTGGGTTCTTTAGGAATATCGTCAGAAAATCTCCACTCCAAAAATGGCATCAAAAACAACACAATCGGAACTCCCGACCTTCACACCAGTCGACTATGGAAAGTTCTTTGGCGCAGGCGCCCTCGCGGCGACCCTCACCCACGGTGTAAGCCAACCACCTCATCCTCTAGAGAACCTCACAAGCACTCGACTAAAAATGCTCATACTCACTACAGGCCGCGACACCAATTGACGTCGTCAAGACGCGAATCCAAGTCGACGACGCAATGAAGGGCCTCAACATGATCAGCGCGGGCCGCACAATCGTCGCAAAAGAAGGTGCATCCGCCCTCCTCACCGGCTTCGGCCCCACCGCCGTCGGCTACCTCGTCCAGGGCGGTGGTAAATTCGCCGGCTACGAATTCTTCAAGAAGCAGTTCATCACCCTCGCCGGCGGCCCCGACAAGGCTGTGGAAAAGCGCACCGCAATCTACCTCGGCGCCTCTGCCACCGCCGAATTCTTTGCCGATATCCTGCTTTGCCCCCTCGAGGCGACGCGCATTCGTCTCGTTTCCCAGCGCGGGTTCGCGACTGGTCTGGGGTCCGGGTTCATGCGCCTTGCGCGCGAGGAAGGGTTCAAGGGGTTCTATTCTGGCTTTGTGCCGCTGCTGTTTAAGCAGGTGCCTTATGCTGTCGGCCAGTTCTCTGTGCATGAGGCTGCTGTCGAGGTGATTTACCGGACCATGGGACCCGAGAGGAAGGCCAAGATGACGCAGCTGCAGTCTACTGGAGTGGAGCTTGCGTCTGGTGTCGTCGCTGGTGTCGCGGCCGCTGTGCTCTCTCACCCCGCCGACACGTTGCTCTCCGCTATCAACAAGGGTGCAGGTGACAAGAACCAGGGCGCCACGAGCCGTATGTTCCAGCTTGCCAAGGAGTTTGGCCCCAAGAGGCTGCTTCTTACCGGTCTGGGCCCCCGTATTGTCATGACGTGCGGTCTGGTTGCTGGTCAATTCGTCATTTACGCGCAGTGCAAGACGTTGGTTGGCGCACCTGCGGGCATCGAAATTCATAAGGAGGAGTCTTTGTAAATAGAAAAGATCTAGAAAGATCTAGAGCGTCAAGAGGATAGACAGGCTTTGGGTACTGGCTGGCGTTTGGGTGCATTAGTTCTGGCCGGTTACAGCGGGTAGATGAGCGACTGCTTAACTATTTATACTTCATTAATCACATTTCATCTGTTGAAGCTGCTTTGTTGCATCTCGTGCCCGTTTCAGCTATGATAACTGGCTGGTAAACATCTGCTAGACATTCACGTTGGACGTTGGAAGTGCAGGACTTCCCTTGGCAAATCTTTCGAGGATTCACTGCATACCGCCGATCATGGGTTGCAGGTCTCGCGTGTTTCGCAAGCTAAAGTCGCGATTGTATCCACGGGATGCGCGGATAGCACGGCTTGCGTTTATATCACTCTCTCTGCAGTACCAGGGATGATGACTCGGGGGAAGGCGACTGAGGATTACTTGCATCCGCAATAGGTGCTGTCAGTCCGATTTCACCTCATTTTCATTAGCTATAACAGACGTAAGGTCTGAGGCTATCGCGATCTCCAAGATTGGCACTAGAATAGAAGAATACACCACACTTATTCAATCGACGCGAGCTATTGAACGCCGTCACAAGGGAGTACCTTCGTAGGGAAAGAATCACCAAATACAAAATGAGCGTCTTACAAACAGGCCTCAACAAAGTCAACATCGCCCTTCGATCTCATCGCGTGGAACTGAATGGTCCCGATAATCCGGGAAATTTTGCATTTGTTACTTTAGTTTTGACTGAGAATAGATTGCACGAGTCCATGGTACTGAACTGTGAACAAGGTTTGATGTCTAGGCAATATTCCACTTATCTGGTCGACAGCAGTTCACCACCAGAACGTTGGATCTATGTCAGCCATTCAACGCTCATGCAAGGTAGGCTGAAGGCCATGGCTTACCTTGACGGCTGCTATGAATCGAAATAGAACACTCGTGCCATACCTACCTTACTGGTCCACGAGCCGGGAAATAAGACCGGACCAACGGCCTCGACTTGCAAAGTCCTCCTCCTTACTTCTCTTTCCTTCCTCACTTCAAACGCTTCATGCATGGAAACAACACCACTGCTAAGGTAGACAACAGTGAGACTCAAACGACAAGATGTTGGCCAAATTCCTCTCCCTGCTGGCCATCAGCACCCTAGCATCCGCCGCATCCTACCAACTCCGGACCTTCGCCCCCTCCGAACCAAAAGTCCACGACCAGCTAGTCAACGTCGAAGAAGAACGCTTCTGGATCGGCCTCGAAAGACCAACGACCTGGTGCCCAGACTTCAGCGGAGGCTCCTGCCCACCAGGCAACACCACCGTCGTAGACGGCTCCTTTGGCAGGATGAAGGTTCGTTGCCCCCTTCTCTACTGTTCTCCTCAATTACCTGACAATCTCTCCCCCCGCAGTCCATGATGTCCCCAGGCCAACTTGTCTACCTCGATCCCTTCGGCGTAATAAGCTACACCGCAGGCGACGCCCTGACATGGAACACCATGCCCCAAGGCTCCAACTTCAACTGCTTCGAGGCCGTCGAGATCTGGGACCCGGCGGACGCGACCAAGAAGCTCCGCCTCGTCAAATTCATCAACCTCGGCGACCCGGCCGCGTCGGCAAGGCCGTTCTTTTACTCGTGTCCGATCGAGGGCAAGAAGCATTCCTTTGTGAGGGTGCGGTGGACGTCGCAGCATGGGCATCGGGAGTGGGGTGTTGATTGGGACAGTCAGTGTACGGCCATGGAGGGGTTGATTCTTGTGGAGAGTAAGGTTGAGATTGGGGCGTATCAGTATGTTTGATACGGGAGGGGATAGGTGTGGTGGAAAGGGTACAGTGAATACGGTAACATGACGTTGATCATCCCAGAAATTGGAATATCTCGGCAAAGTGAAGGAACATATTTTACAATTTCATGTCAGTCTCAACTTTAAGCTACATATACATTGATCCCACGACTAATCCAGAACAAGCTCAAACTCAAAATCCTTGCTCTTGAGCTCATACTGCGGCAGCGTCGCCGGCCCACAGGACCCCGTCCCGAGACCGTGATGCGCCCAGTCCAGCCTGACGACCGTGTCCTCCCGCTTGCGCTTGTGCAGCTCGTACGGGTGCTTGCACTCGTCCAGGTCCTTGGTGGTGTAGTGCATGGCCGAGAACGAGGCACCTTCCAGATCGCCGTAGCGGGCGCGAATGAGACGCTCGGCGGGCTTGCTCTGGTCGACCACGCCCTCTTCATCGGGCAGCTGTCCGCGGAACTCGACCCACCGGACATCGGTCCTGTTGCCGCCGTCCTGGGGGAACTCGTAGTCCACAAAGAGGTCGTCGACCGTCTCCTCCCAGTTCCCAAAGGCCTGCGCCATCTTCTTGTCCGAGTAGCTCTCGCCGGGCCCACGGCCCCACCACGCGACCTTCTCCACGTTCTTGAGGCCGAAAGTGAAGCCGATGCGGGCAAAGGTATCCGGCACCAGCGGACCGCTGGGCTTGCCCTTTATCTTGATGTAGATGGCCTCGCCGTGGAAGGTGTAGGTGGTGTAGATGTCGACGCCCCACGCGAGGACGGGCGGCGCGATGCGGGAGTGGACGTTGACGATAAGACCGTGCTTCTCCTTGCGCCATTCTACGCGCTTGATGTTGTGGCTCGTCTGATGCAGTCGGCGATCCTCCCATTGCTGCCCGAAGCGGCCACCGCGGTCGTTGTCGGTGAGGGCGCGGTAAAAGTCCACGACGAAGGGTGTGGTTAGAAGCTCGATATGAGGGTGAGA